AGCCATTATAGTCCTGAGTAATTAGGACAGAGGTCAACGTAGGCCATTGCTCATCGATTATTGCTCAACTCAATTAATCAGTAGTTTGGCGAAAGGAGAAAGAGCAACTATGTTCTGGGGCGTAGTAGGGCTATCCTATTTTTGCAGAACAGTGCCGAGGTCGAGAGCGTGAGTTTTTTTAACCGTCCATAACTTTTGCCCAAACTGCAGTAATGATTCCGATGGACATGGTTTCGAGATAGATCGAATCCCACGCTCAGCAAAAAAATTTGCACTTTTTAATCATATTGCCCGGCTGGGAGCTCCCGGCTAGACGACATCACGACACTATTCGAGCAGCATGACTGGCAATGTTGCCAGTCATGCTGCTCGAATAGTGTTAGTAAACGCTAGGAATATGCTAGCGCTGAGGGCTCCGCCACCCTTCACAAGGGTCCGGATACCCTCCCCCCCCCTCCAGTAAGTTCACTTCCATTATGCAGCCTAAATGTATAAAAGTGTACAATTTTGATCGAGGCATCCCTCCATCAATTCCAAACCCGTGGTGGAGCTCCTGGCTGGCTTTTGACTTTATTTTACTGACTTTGTTGTACTTCGGGCAGCATCACAAAACATGAAAAACATGATTCATGCATTGATACTTTCCAAGTTTCAGTCTTCAATCTTGTTCAAATGCTGCAGCTAAGACTAGCTGTCACAAATCGTTGGACTATTTTTTCATATTGTGTAGTTTACTTTCGTTTCAGATGTATCAAGATATGTCTTTCGTTTCCAGTTTCCACTGATGACACAATTTTTATGATAGTTTGGCATAGTATCCTCTATTTTCCTGTCGTTATTCCCATGCGTTACCCACTCTTTCCATGTTCTGTTCATCCCTGGATTAGCATCAGTAGATCGCTGACCGCTCCCACGCATTGAGCGCCTTTCTCAGTCGTGTGCAGACGCCCTTTTGCAGCTGCCTCAGGTGCGGGACGGGTTCAGACGCCACTCAGCTAGATTTAGCTCTCCTCAAGCACGGCATTGTCTGCTCCCGACGCGGCACTAATCTGCGGCACATGGTATTCGCGGATACTTATGCTCTCAGATGTGATTTCCCAGCAGGTTACATTGATTTCCAGCTACATGTGTGCGATATAAATAATACTCTGCATTCTGTAAGGCTCATTTATTTCCACTCGCCACAAATAGCCTATCGTGGTTCTTTACCTTACGGCTATCGTTCCAATAATTGCTAAAAAGATAAATAGCTCAGTCACTCGGGAATCGTAACACCAAGACGAGATATTCTCAATATCAGACAGTAACCCGCGCCCCACTGGGGTCTGCGTATAACACGCCCTACTGGGGGGGGGCTATTCATAGCCCCCCTCCAAACCCCGAAGCTACTGGGCCGATGGCCAAAATTCAAACGGCGTCTGATAGCCTCGGAAAACTGTCGAGCGAAACCTAACTTTATTGACCTCGATGTTACCGATGACGTCAAGATCAGGTCAAAACAAAAATTATAATCGATGTTTGGCTTGTTCACATTTTGGGGTCTGGCCGCCGGCTTACAAGTCAGATAAGGCTCATTTTTGGTTTACGCCTTTAGATACCCGGAGGGTACCAAACTTGTACTTTGATTTTCAGGTCAGGGTCAGGTTATCACAGGTCACGGAAATTTTATATCATGAATCGGTCACGTGACACATGTTTACACATGTCCATTTTAGGCCATATATTTCGTATTCCGTGTCGTTTATGTCATTTGAGGTCATTTTAAGTTGAATTTAGCTGAGGTCAGGCCACCTTCAGGTAAAAAGGTCACATTTTAGTCAAAAGTTAAAATTTGCAACACAAAAGGTGTCTATCGAATGTAGTTCGAGGTCAGGACTCAGGAGCACGATGGTGCTATTTATATTGGTGTGCGATGTCAAATACATTATATATTCCCGACCGGGGCTGGGAAAATGCGTTTTATTCACCGAGGTTTTTGTGCGGAGGACCGAGTGCCGGTAGGCACGAGGTCCGTAGCAAAAAACCGAGGTGAATAAAACTGCATTTTCACAGCCCACGCAAGGCCTGGGCCAAGCCTGGGCTTGGGAAGAGATTTGGCCCACGGTTGGGAAGAGATTTACCACATGCCGTACCGGCGCAACACTTAATATCATATTCATTTGATATTTTACACTTTAATCTTAATATTGTGTTAATATTATATTAGTACTATGTTCATATTTATAGTCACTGTGATTATTTTTTGTGTTTTTCATTATTGGGCTGCGTTGAGTATTAGATGAAATTCCTACTTCCCCCTTATTTAGGGTTTGAAAAAGCTGAGGATGAAGATGGTGAAGCGCCAGAACCAGAAGTTAGAATAAAGATATGGAGTCCAGTAGGAGTGAGGAAACCGTGAGGAAAGCTGAAAATTGGGTGAAACGCTGAATCAAACGCGTCTTGGATCTCAGCTGGAACAATATCAAATGTTTCATTGTGGCACGTTAAGATGCTTCACGCATTTAAATTGATCGTTTTTTTTTTGCGTGCATTATGTAGAGATAATTATTATTCCGATTTCCGACCATGTTCTGCAGCAATAAATACATTGGCATTGGAACGATAACCTTGTTTAGTTGAATTACGTTGACAGCAAAAGTAAGTAAACACGCAGTCACTTACTTTTGCTGATGCTGTTAGTGAACACACAATCCGTAAATATCTTCTTTGAAATTGGTTCTTCCGCTCAGAATATTCAGTAAAATTTTGTCTGGGAAAATCAAAAAGCCCTAGGGCCGAATCGTTTCCCAAATACCTTCAACATTAGCCGAGGCGGGCCGAAGCCATTTCCCAAATGCACGTGCTAATGTTAAAGGGATATCTCGGCATGTGGTAATATACTGAAAATTGATTTGAAGAATTCGTAATAGTGAAATTCTTGCTATAATGCTTATAACTTGGTTATTTTTGAAGACATCCGGCTAAAACTTGCTGAGTATATCATGAGCATGTATTCTATCACATATATTCCGTCTTTTTATTGAAAAAGTCAAATACACTTTTTGAAAAAAGATGAAAATATAAATTTTGAAACTTAAAATAAATTATTTTCAAAATTTTCAGGATTTTGGAAATCCGAGATAGCAGTTTGACAGCCAGCTCTCACGTCCTTTCACGCAAAGAACTTGGATCTAGCTTAAAAACTGAGCTCTTGAGAACAATGGCGTAGTTCAATGCTTTGCGTCGAAATCGCCCGAACATGACGTCACTCTGACGTCATTTCCAGCCGACCTGTGGTAGCTACGAAGTTCATATTTTGCCAAAGGTGTCAAATGGATGCAGCCAAAGGTACTGGAAGTTTCGTGTCAATATGTTCAGCGGTTTAGAAGTTATTGCAGAAAAACGAGAGGCGGCTATGAATAGCCCCCCACCCCCCGTGGGGCGCTACGATCATCATCGTAGCTCCCAGCTCAGTGTGGTATTGGCCGCCTGTGTATAACATACCTACTTGAAACAGCTGATGAGCGTGCGTACTGGTGATTTAACTTTTTCAGTCAAAATGGGGTGGAGAGATTTAACTTTTTCAGGCAAAATAGGATGAAGAGAGTGGGCACATTTGTGCAAAAAAAAAGGATAAATCCATATATCTGTTCTTTGGGTGGTGCAATGACAGAAATGTTGATTGCAGTATGGAATGGAACTATTGTCGATATTTTTCTTGATAAAAAGTTATCCTCTAACATTATCGCTTCTTAAGAAAAATGACTTAATAAAACTACCATTGCACGAAACTGCCGCATGCGTATGGGGCACTTTCGTACATACAAAGGATGGGGCACTTTCGTGCACTTCCGCAAGGTTTGATGGATTACCAGGCATTACCAGAAATTTACCAAAACAAATTGGCAGTGGGGTATTTCACTCGATTCCTTTCGACAAGAATGTATTGCACAGCAAATGTAGAAAAAAATGAGCTGGCCAACAAGAATGTGCTAGCTGCCGGCCATCGGTCCACTTCTGTGACCTCGCAAAGGTCACGCCAATTGTCACGACGTTGCAAGCAGCCGAGACTGAGTCAAGCGAGCGTCATAAATGAAACCTACAACAGATAAAAGTCATAAATCGCATGAAAACGAAAGAAAATTTGCACGCATATGCCCCTGCCCCCTAGGCGGAACCTGTCCCAAAACGTTTTTTGTAATATATTTCAAAATTTCTCGTTGAAAAATGGCACTTTTTAAACAAACAAGCTTGCAACAACTCCGTGAATAGAGTGAGCTTCTTCGCCGTGAATTTTGCTGAACACTGTAAAAACCCATGTCAAAAACCAGCACCCTGTACCTGCTTATTTTAAGCAGGCTAACTGGGTGCTAAATTTTAGCACCCTTTTCGAAAAATAGCTCCCTGTGCCGGCTTATTTTAAGCACCATAAATGGTTGCAGCCATTTAGGGTGCTTAAAATAAGCCGGCACAGGGAGCTATTTTTCGAAAAGGGTGCTAAAACTTAGTACCCATTTAGCCTGCTTAAAATAAGCAGGTATAGGGTGCTGGTTTTTGACATGGGTGCTAAAGTTTTTTTACAGTGAACCGCATTTTGGAGTCAGGATCGCTAAAACGGGTGCGTTGAAAAAAGTTTGAAAGACGCACAAATAATACAACTTAATCATGGCATCCTCAGAGAGTGTCCCTATGGGGGTCCGGTGATAAGATTTGCAGCAATCCCTCATGAGTCCATTCCCTAAACTTGAGGGGCTTTATCTTGGCATATCAGGGCCTCACGCAGGCCCATCCACCCTAATCTAGAAGCCCCTATCCCTTTTGTTATAGGCAGGAAGACGATTGGGTTCATTCTATCTTTGCAACCGTCCGCTATGTGGCCGATGTCTCGCATAGGTCAGTAGACCGACCCGCGCTTCGCCCAGCCCTCCCACCGCACTGATTCAAGGTTACGCTACCTGACTGGTATAAAGGCAGGCCGGTCCGCCGTTCACAGTATCAGTCGTCAAAGACCCTATCTGCAAACATGAAGGTCAGTTTCCTCTCCTCAGCGTATTGCGGCTGGTGTTATGTGCTTGGTCTGTCATTCACATGATGACTTATTTACTAGTGCTTTGTAAAGGCAGCCACTTAGACCACACATTTTACTCTTTCTTTTTTAGATGTTCTTCTGGACGTTCAGAGCTAGAATGAAGGAATAAGAATATCTAAAATTTAAGCAGCACACGTCTAACTTTTACCTTTGTCTTCCAGTTCTTCGTCGTTGCTGCCCTGGTGGCCGTGGCTGCCGCCGCCCCCTCCACCCCCTACAGCCCCCGGCCGGCCTACCACCCGGCCCCGGCCTACCACCAGCCGTCCTACAAGGAGCCCGCTCAGCCGTACCAGTTCGACTACGCCGTCAACGACCACTACTCGGGCGCCGTCTTCTCGCAGAACGAGAACAGCGACGCTAGCAACGTCAACGGCTACTACTCGGTCAACCTGCCCGACGGCCGTGTGCAGACGGTCAAGTACGTGGCTGACCAGCAGGGCTACGGAGGCTACAACGCCGAGGTGACCTACGAGGGCGAGGCCCGCTACGACGAGTACAAGCCCAGCTACAAGCCCAGCTACAAGCCCGCTTCGTACGCCGCTCCGTCCTACCAGCCCGCCTACAAGCCCGCTTACAAGCCCGCCTACAAGCCCGCCTACCAGCCCGCCTACAAGCCGGCCTACAACTAAATGCTTTAAAACGTTACTTTATTTATAGCATTTGTGATATCATCTGATTACTGTCCGTCATGTGTACATATTTGTGAGTACAAAAAGAATACATACATTTCGGTGCACTTCATTGTGTTTATGATAGGAGAATGGATAGGAGCATGAAGAGGAGCATGATTTACAGAGAAAATAAGCCCGTAAGATGCCTTTTGGGGCGACAAACGAGCGAGCGAGAGAGTGAGCCCGGCACGTGCGCTAGTGGGAGGGGGTGCTTGAGCTTCCAACTGACTTGTGAACGACACCCCACTAATCGGTTTATAGCAGTGTGCCAAATTTGAGCGCAATACCCAGTCGCTCGTGAGATATGGAAGCGCCACTCTGCACGTGCACACTTGCAAACTGGGTCTGATCTGAATTTTGTACGGCACACTACTCGCCGTTCTCTAACTGACCCGTATATACCACCTTTGAACGCAATCAGCCCAGCCGTTCTCGAGATCTGAAATGTACCCCTGCACGTGCGCACGTGCAGTATCACTCCAGCCGTTACATATGGACATGCATCTTCCGATGGGTTCCTGCGTGCGTGAATAGTTTCAGTGCAATCAACCCACTATTTGCCGAGTTATTGTAATGGAAACAATATTCACAACTCTTTATTTTGCATATGCTAGGGGCAGGGGAGTCACCCACACGTATCGAGAGTATCCGGTGCTTGGTAGATGAGATGCAACTACCCTTACAAATTACAGGAAGTTAATCACCCCAGCGGTTACTGAAATTTCTAGCAGAAACGCTTCTTCATTAAAACAACTTGAACACCCTTGAACTTTCACGTAGCACGTGGCACGACGGTCACCTAGCCATTGCCGGCCGAGGGGGGAGTGGATACCGCTCCCCCTGATATTTTTTCCGCGATATCTCAAAATACGCCGGCGAAAAAGAGCTGAAACTCGGCGTACCTAATCTTTGATTCCATCCGATTTTTTGACACCACATACATTTTCAGGTCAGGTCAGGTCATTGACCTATGGCGTCATAATTAAACCTCTGCACTGTCCTAAATTGTCTCACCTTCGCAACACCCTCAGTGCCAAAAACGCTTTCATAAGGATATGAAACATATAGGAAGTAGTATCATCCAGAAGTTTCACAACGTGTATGTCTCGGATTTTTCCTGCAGGTCACATGAGGTCAGGTCGGTCGCGTGACCTGACCATATATGTCAACGGGGAAAATAAAAACTGCTATTTTGGCGCCGGTAACGATCTCATACTATCTCAAGCACACACAATCGGGGTTTCATGCACTCCTTGCCAGGCCTGATGCTTCGCTTTTGCATTGTTGACCTTGTTTGACGTCATTTATGACGTCACTAGGGTCAGAATAGTTTTTCGTTAATAATTCCCAAGCAAATTGCGGTAGGGAGTCAGGAAAGTCAACAAACTCAGAAAGATCTGCTAAATCGAATGATATGCTATATAACCTCCTTCGACCAACTTCGTTACCTGGGGCTCTGACCTGATTTTGACCCGAGGTCAACACCTTAATTGACCTCATCCGAAGCAAAAAGTAAACCATTCGACGCGCCTGAGCGAGGCAAACCGATACTCATGCTAACATCGCGGCTCTGCGGCCGTTTTTGCGAAGTTATTTAATCAAAAACCGAATCAATGTCTTGGGCCACTTGACCTGACCTCAGAGGTTACCGGCTAATCTGAGACCTTAAAATCTGGTACCAGTCGCTGCGTCTCGTAACAGCGCACACAGTTGTTTTTCTGCGAGGGTGTAGCTCCATCAGGAGTGAAGCGGCGAGGGGGCTAGTACCCGCCTCCCCTAGCCGTCGTGTAGGTATGTAGAAAACGTATAGGTCCGGCGAGGGTTAAACTGATATGGTCAACTTTAAAGAACAGACTTGCTATCTTTCAGGATTTACGCTCACGCAACACCAGCAGGAAGATAGACGTCTTGACAAAATACAAAAAAAAAAATATTTTCTAAAATTATCAGGAAAGGCATAAAATAAAAACTTATGTCATTTTTCTGAAGTAGAAACGAGAACAAAGCCGTGCATATTTAGATATAAAAATATGAAATAGAACGTAACTACATGGTGATGTGCCGCCTTCATCGTCGCGTGCATGGTGTGTCATTTATTTTGATCCATGACTGTCACTATAAATCAGCTGCAGTGCCTAGTCAGAAAAAACGCCCGTAACGTTACCGCAATTTTATTTCTGGTCTTCCATCATTGTAACATTTCGAAATTCTTTTAGTTTCTGCCAAGCGAGGACGTGTATCTTATCCCTCGCATGTAAGCGGCGTTTGCCAGCTTCTAATGTTAAGGGGGGTCGGTTGGACCCCCCCTTGCCGTTTGGCCCCTGATCGAGCTAGAGCTTCGCGGAAAACACGAGCGTATTGCCCGTGATGAGTGGAAGCCGATGATACCCAATTTTAAGGTCCTAGGTTACTGGTTGACCTTCCAGGTCAGGTCAATGACCCAAAGTTGGGAAATCGGGGCCAGTGAGAAAGTCGTAAAGTGTGGCTGCTAAGGGGTTTTCGGGGTGCTGATCACGAATATCGTGTTAGTTTTGATCATGGATGATGTCTTCATGCATTTAGACCAGGTCAGGTCAGGTCAGGTCAGGTCAACCAGTAGGGGTCGTGACGGGATTTCGTAGTACGTGTCAACCGCCTCTGACAGCTTCGTAACATGTTACGAAGGCACCAAAACTACTTCGTAAATGTTCAAATGGTTGCTAAATTCGAATTCAGCTCCAAAAACTAGCCTAGAAACATGTACAGCTCGAAAAAGTGAACCGAGGTCACCAAAGGTCAGTGACCTGACCTGACATTCAGGTGGCCTTGACATCCACCCAAATGCATGGGAGCAACATCAAATCTCATGTTTGAGCGTTTGAAACCACGAGAAGCTTGCAAACGCGCGGCTAATGCGAGCCGACATACGCCGAATCGCGATTCCGGCCAAACATGGCCTCGAGAAATAGGTCACAGGTCAAAGGTCACTTGGGTCAGGGTCATGAAATTTTCAGGGGAGGTGTAAAATTGATCAACTCGAGTGTACTGAAAGTTTCGTTGCGATCGGCCGCTTTTTGCTCGCGAGTTATTCGCGAAAAAACCATGGGGGGGGGGGGTCCATCCGACCCCCTCCCCTGCACATGCGAGGGTTATATGACGTATGTATGACGGACGTATGCCTGATTGACTGACTGATTGTCACTGCATCAAATGTATCTCCAATAACATACAGCGACTGACTAGCATGAATGCTGGCATTTTACGCATCGTCCTTAGCGAAAAAGTCAACCCAGACAAGTACGCTAGAAAATAAAAACGAAAAGAAAGAGAAACAATTAATCGACAGAGAGCGCATAAAAATATCGCACCTTAGGGTCAAAACAAGTTCCATCACACACAATTCCTTTTCTCTGCATCTTCATATAGGCCGAACCAGAACTTCTACCTGTACAGTGTTCGGCCCCTCCCACCCTCCAACCCAAGGTTACGGTCGCTGGCTGGTATAAAGGCAGGCGGGTCCGCCGTTCACAGTATCAGTCGCCAAAGACCGAATCTGCAAACATGAAGGTCAGTTTCCTTCGCTCAGTGCGGCTTCCATTAGATGCCTTTTGCCTGGCATCTCCACACTAGTTATTGGGATTAGCATACACTCATATTCTACTCGTATGCTTTGTTCAGCGATTTTCGATTTGTGTACCTACCTGCACATTTTATTTTTAGCCGTGAAGTTAGTTTGACTGTTAAAGTAGGCAAAGACATTGAGTATGACATTCAAAAGATCTATTGAAACCTCATTAACTAACTTCTGTTTTACCGTTGCAGTTCTTCGTCGTTGCTGCCCTGGTGGCCGTGGCTGCCGCCGCCCCCTCCACCCCCTACAGCCCCCGGCCGGCCTACCACCCGGCCCCGGCCTACCACCAGCCGTCCTACAAGGAGCCCGCTCAGCCGTACCAGTTCGACTACGCCGTCAACGACCACTACTCGGGCGCCGTCTTCTCGCAGAACGAGAACAGCGACGCTAGCAACGTCAACGGCTACTACTCGGTCAACCTGCCCGACGGCCGTGTGCAGACGGTCAAGTACGTGGCTGACCAGCAGGGCTACGGAGGCTACAACGCCGAGGTGACCTACGAGGGCGAGGCCCGCTACGACGAGTACAAGCCCAGCTACAAGCCCAGCTACAAGCCCGCTTCGTACCCCGCTCCGTCCTACCAGCCCGCCTACAAGCCTGCCTACAAGCCCGCCTACAAGCCCGCCTACAAGCCCGCCTACCAGCCCGCCTACAAACCGGCCTACAACTAAAAGTTTTAAAGTATCTTTTATTTATGTTATTAGTGATACCACCTGATCGTTGTCCATCATGTGTAAATATTTGTGAGACCAGAAATATATCAATTTCGAATCGATTTATTCATTATGCTTATCAAAGAGACACAATACGATTTTTTATGGAGAACGGGAAAAACTTACAGGATTATCATGAGCTTTAGTTTAGACGATGTGGGTCTGCTTTAACTTCGCTCAAAGCCGCTATGACCAGAATGATATTTGCCGAGACCCTCAGAGGCTTTAATTGGGCTTCCCTCGCCTGATGGGAGCTGCCATCCCCAGTAATTTTCCTGCGCTTAAAGGGAGATAATGAGCTTTCTTTTTTCTTAAATAAAAATTACTCGACATCTATACTATTTCTACTGTAGTTTCTATAAGATATGAAAATTTCCTAGCACATTTTCGTATGTGAAAAAGGTTTTTATTTTTGCAAAAAAGAAGCAGTACTTGCAGTACTTGTAACACCCACCGAAATGCGTTGTCCTTCTCTATAAAAAAGTCGCAGTATATGGCGCTTTTGTTTCAAACAGCGACGCTTGGGTTTTTGTTTATGTTATCGCCTTGTCGTTGCTTGGTTGTAAGGATTCTAATTTGAATTAGAGTTAATTCGGTTTAGAATTAATTAGATTCTAATTCGGGGGTACATAGTGCCTACTCTTCTTTGTTTCCAAGTATTATTTTGCGCCACAAACGAACGGCATGCGCCAGAAACGCAGCCAAATCTTGCGATTGCGACTACGAAATTCATTATTTTGGCGTCAGAGCCTGAAGCGAAAAATACAAGCATATTTATTTCAAAAAGACTTCAGGTTTGTCGAACGGTGTTATGAGAATTTTGATAACAGTACTGCATAAGTTTTTCAGTGATGCCGCAAAAGTGTTGTATCTATCTTCTTTTATTGTGTAGTCGGCGGGACCGATTCAAAATTGAGTCGTTGCTACTAAAATAGCAGCATATGGCGTCAGATGATGAACAGGAAAAATAGTTGCGTAAATTTAGACATAAACCAACCCCAAACCATGAATATCTTTTGAAGGCACTATAGACGACCATTAACTAACTAGATGTGATGAAGATCAAATGTAAGGAATACGCTCATTTTACAAAATTACATGCAAGTACCAAAAAGTGATGTAAGTACTTATTCAACGGTCATTTTCAGCGCTCCCCGCTAACGTGACTTCAAGTTGAGATATTTGCGGCAAGGTACCGAATTGAGCAAAATGGTTTTAATTTACATTATAACTTGTTGTGTTTTGTCAGAAAATGGTCCTAACTCAGATTTTGTGGAAAAGGGTCATTATCTCCCTTTAATAAGCCATCTTTGGAATGAGATGTTTCATGCTTGATTTTTCGAATAACTGCTTTTCTATCTTTTTTCTACACCGCAACCCTTGAACAGGTGACCAGGAGTGTTCCCTCCCCCATCCCAGCGCCACACAGTACCTTATCGTTAACACCGGAAAACTAATAATAAGTCGCGGCAGTCCCAGGTAGGGAAGAGTTGGGGAAAGCGGTCATCCTAACGATTTTTCGATGCCGACGCTTTATTTTTTTTTAACGTGGAAAGATTCTTTCTATACCAATGTGATCCCTATCAAATTGCCTTTTATTTCAATTGCGTTTCATTTCCAAAGGTGGTAAAATATGGGAGATATTGGCAAAACTTTAAGCCATGCGTTTTGGCCACTTTACCTCATACCCTGCAGAGCAAAGCGGCCTGCACATGCGATTTCTAAAGTCCCGATGTGAGAAACAGAATAGTTGCCTCATGTACGACTAGGGTATTTGATGGTGACAAGGTTTAAACGAGGATGGGTGTTTAATTTGTCATCTTCCCACCTGTAGGTAAACAAAGAAAGAACATTCATGGAAAAACATTTAGTTGCATTGTTTGGTAACTTATCTAACTGAAAAGTGGCCGAGATGAATGCATGGCGACATATTTCAATAATAATAACGTTTGTTTTCCAGATGAAAACAATTCGTGGTCAATTCGGAGCTGGCCACTTAGCCCCGTCCACTTTCCCAAGCATATCGTCCAAAACAAAAATATTCCACCTCAGCTAGTAGTGGAGCATATAACATTAAAATTGCTAAATGACATCCACAATTACCACTAATGCATGAACGAGATCCCTTAACTAAATTCCATACGGTTTTGGATTGAAACAACATTTAAAAATCGTAAAAATAGTTAGTAACCTGGCAAGAAAGGCTTTTCCATGCATCACAGAACAATGGCGATGGGCCGGAAATCCAAGTCTGGCTCTCTCAAAGGACTGCGAAGAGAAGTATAAGAGAAGTATACTTGGCAACCATAAATATAGGAGCTGACACCAGCTGTGGAGGGTTAAAACGATGGGTGGCCGCTTTGCCACGGGGCTCTCGCCTAATAGACAAACAAAACAAAAGGCGAACATAGGTGGAATAAGCCTGCTGCTAGTATAATATTAAGAGAGAAGCAAAGTATTCACAACTACAAACAATTAGTGAGTGCAGCGTCTACTGAAAATTTCAAGTGTCTGTGGTCCTTAGCTTGGGAGATATGGCCTTATTGTTTACATAGTTAGGTTGTTTCATGACTCAAATGACCAATTTCCAACAACTTGAGTTGGCTATGGGTCTCGTAAACTTTTGACACCTTGATTTCGTTTTTCTTTTCTTTTTTTTTTGCCAGTCTTGCTTTTAAATCCATAAGTTTGTAAGCTCATAAAATTGTATCATGTCATTTGTCATTCGACCTGGCTGATCAAAAGGAATAAAATGACACCATTTCTAAAGTTCTAACTTCATTGCGCGCCAACTTAACAGTAAAAACGTACGTCAATATGACCTCCATTGATGCGACGGTAGCGTTCTTGCTGCAAACAAACATAAACCTAGCCACACATGGATATCAACTGATGTAGTACAACACAAAGATGTTAAAATGGAGTGGATAGCTCTAATATTTTTACAACTAGAGTATTTCGTAAATTTTTCCCTAGAATTCGGCATGACATCTAGATGACCTAGGGTCAACCGTGTTTTAAATGCCGGGATACATGTTATGGACGTAGCACATCCAGCAAGTCTATATCAAATGTATGCAAAGCTCTAGGCTTTGCGGGTATAAATAGTGTATTTTTATTGCTTTTTTCACAATGTCGTGGACTGCTGACCTGACCTGACGCCACTGGGGCTCAAAGTTCCTAGAACACGTCTCGAATTCCTAGCCCAAAAAGTGTCTTTAATATCGTGACGCCAAGTGCCACGGTGCTCACGCAATTCATGAAAAATTGTCATTCCGTTGCCGCTAAATTATTCCAATTTAACCCTGAACTTGTTCCGATTTTTGTGACCTTGTAACCTGACCTGAATTTTTTTAGGGAAAGTGAAAAAAGAATGTCCCTAGGGTATACTAAATATGGCGGGGCTAGGCGCCGCCATTTTTAAAATATCTGCCAAAACCCCTAGGGGTCATTAGTCTTCCAATGTAACTATTATAGTTAGTTATACAATTGGTATTAGACGAATTCTTATGATTAATTGGTTAACAGTTTGCAGGTGGAAGTAAAAGAGTAACTAGTTTTTTAACCCGCGCCCCGTTGAGGTCTTGCAGGTTCCACGTCCTGTTGGGGGGGGGGGGGTAAAGGGCCCCCCGTCCGGATCGGAAAAATTCAAACGGCAATCGAAAGAACTCATTAAGATGCACAAGATATGAAATCGATGACCTTAACCCGCGCACCGACGGGGGTCTGCGCCAACTTAGTACCGACGGGGGGGGGCGGATGACCGCCCCCCCCTGAGATCTCGAGAACGAAGCAAGATAGCGACAAGCGGTAAACGGCATCGGATACGCACGGTCAAGATCTACAATTTTTACTAAGGTCATTTTCAGGTCAGGTCAAAGATGACGTCACAGGGGTCGAAAAAGTCAAAATGGCGGCGCTAAATATGGAGAGAGTTTTTCTCGAATAACTTTCGAATTAGTCAAGATAGGAACAAACTAAGGGCATCATCGTGATCCTCTCGTCAATCCGCATCGAATGATATATATGTTGACCTCGAAAGGTCAAGGTCAAAGGTTGACCTCAGGTCACGTGACCTCGAGGTCATCATGTATATCATTCGATGCGTCTTGACGAGCTGAACATAATGAGACCATCCACGCGTCTGTATCTTGTTCCTGTACGGAGTTATTGGCCAAAAACCTTTGGTGACCTTTGATGACGTCACATGACCTCACAGCTGCCCAACAGCAAAACAGACCTCAAGGTAGTGAAGGTTGATCGTATATGAAGTCATGTATGGTATATGGGGCCATTCCGACCCGTTTTAGTGGTAAAAACAGGGAGCTGATTTTTCCCCCATTGACTTATAATGGGGAGGTCGCGAAATTGACCTGACCTTAGGTCACCGATATCAAAATTCCGAGATATACAAATTGTAGCTACTAATGACCTAATAACATCCTGCGACTTTCAAAGGCCTCCGACATCTACTGTAGCTCTGGCACGGTGACAAAGTTGCAAAAAAGTGACTTGAGGTTGGGTCATTCAAAGTGACCTGGTGACCTGACCTTGAAAGTTAGGAGGTTAAAACTTGCACACCATGTGTAAAATTGATAAGGGAATAGTCATACCAAATTTCGCGGCGCTACGCGCCGCGGTTTTCCCGCTATTCGCGAAAAACCTCAGGGGGGGGCGGATATCCGCCCCCCCCGTCGGTGCGCGGGTTAATAGGTATTTGAGCTGTGACGTTACAGGGAGGTCAAACAAGGTCAAATCAGTCCAATTTGCAATGACGAGAAGTCGGTCATAAAAATGAAATCTAAGTTTTCAAAATGAGTCTGGATATGATGTATATGATAGATCTCGCATGTGGATAGTCACCTGAGTGGTAAAATTTATGTCCGGAGAGGTACGGAAAGTTTCAAGTCGAAATTCGCAGCCGTTTCTGAGTTATCTCCGAAAAACCATAGCCCGCCCCCCCCCCCCCAACGGGTCGCGGGTTAATGCTGAAAAATATGTAATTGCAGCGTTGCTGCGGAATTGACTTGTCATCTTTCAGCATTTGCGTTTATGCATCGCCCGTACCTTGTTAAACAAATATTCACACAAAATATATAAAATCATCATCTAAACCATGCAATATACACATCCAGTATCAACTTCATGTCATTCTTGGCAGAAGAAAAATAATTAACTCGAGACATATTTCAACGCCAAATAAAACAATTGATCGACAGAGAGTTTAACGGTTAGAATATGTACTTATGTAGAGGTCGAAAGAAATTACGCGACAAGGCATTTCCTTTTCACTACATCTTCATATACGTCGTCCCAATCTAACTGTTCAGCCCTGCCCTCCCTCCAACCCAAGGTTACGGTCGCTGGCTGGTATAAAGGCAGGCCGGCCCGCCGTTCACAGTATCAGTCGCCAAAGAGCCAATCTGCAAACATGAAGGTCAGTTCCCTCCGCTCAGTGTTGCTCCTGCTAAGTGCCATTTTCCTAGTGGTTGGGCCTAACATACGCTTGAATGCTTCATGCTCTGCTCAGCTCATGCTCATGATCATCCGACTCATTTCTGAGTTTAAGTCAGCTATTTCAACTGTTGAAGTGAATTGTTCTTAGAAGATGATGTTGTAAAGAACTTCCTAAAACCACCGATGTATAACTTCTTTTTTACCATTGCAGTTCTTCCTCGTTGCTGCCCTGGTGGCCGTGGCTGCCGCCGCCCCCTCCACCCCCTACAGCCCCCGGCCGGCCTACCACCCGGCCCCGGCCTACGCACCGGCCCCCGCCTACCACCAGCCGTCCTACAAGGAGCCCGCTCAGCCGTACCAGTTCGACTACGCCGTCAACGACCACTACTCGGGCGCCGTCTTCTCGCAGAACGAGAACAGCGACGCCAAGAACGTCAACGGCTACTACTCGGTCAACCTGCCCGACGGCCGTGTGCAGACGGTCAAGTACGTGGCTGACCAGCAGGGCTACGGAGGCTACAACGCCGAGGTGACCTACGAGGGCGAGGCCCGCTACGACGAGTACAAGCCCAGCTACAAGCCCAGCTACAAGCCCGCTTCGTACGCCGCTCCGTCCTACCAGCCCGCCTACAAGCCCGCCTACAAGCCCGCCTACAAGCCCGCCTACCAGCCCGCCTACAAGCCTGCCTACAAGGCCGCTTACCAGCCCGCCTACAAGCCGGCCTACAAGCCCGCCTACAACTAAAGACATGCAGTTATGACCTGAAAGTGATATTTATGCAAATATGTATGTGCTTTGGTGTGTATGGTCCTGTTGTGTTATAATACACAATCTGCTTGACACTTGAACTTTGTTTTTACGGGTTAGCTAAGTTATGTTATATTTCAGACCATTCGCTGCGAAACACCGTATTAGTACGGTTAGAATGAAATTTCGTCGATTTATTAGAGCTCGTTGGCATTTTAGTTAGTTTTAATATTGAATATTTTTGAAGGAGTTAACAATGGAATACAATTTATTTATAGTCATACTTCATGCTATTTATCTAATGGCCATATCTTCGCTACGCTTAAGGTGGCAATTACATATTATAACATAAAACGACATTTTTGACATGCTGTAAATCTAGGATATACTGTTTGGATATACTTATTTCATTTCCTAGCAGTTGCAGGCTCGGGCTCAGTTTCACCAAGTGCGGTAAACTCAATTTGGGGTAAAATACCAAACTACCCCACTCCGTAACTACAAATATACTACCCCAAAATTAAGTTAACCTAACTTGGTGAGGTTGGGCACTTGGCCCAATCTCACCAAGTTATGTAATCTTAATTTTGGGGTAGTATATTTGTAGTTATGTAGTGGGGTTAGTTTGGTACTTTACCCCAAATTGAGTTAACCGCACCTGGTGAAACTGGGCACGGAAGGGTCCTGACAAAATATCGAAACGCGAAACATTGAATCACCGAACATTGAGGCATATGTACTATCGAATCGAAGTAGACAAAATATCGAAGCGCAAAATATCGGATCACATAACATGGAGGCATATTGTAGTCGTGGCGAAAAATAAAAAGCAGAATATCGAACGGGCAAAATATCGAACGCAAACTATCAATATACGGCGGCGCTACTCGCCACCACTTTCTTTACACCTTGTCCTCCATCTTCTCTGCACCTTTTTTTGTTAGGACCAGCCATCAGGTTTTCAATGCTAAGTCAAGAGGTCACCTGGCTCTTCATAAAAGCCTTCCAGCAATTGTTAGCGATATTGTTGACAGGCATGCTAGAACGATAAAAGCACCTTGAATGGGTATAGCTCAACGACGTAGATCGCCTTATATGCAACGTGACCTTTTCCGGTCAGGCTATGAACGTAGGCCTTAGGCTAACTTTTTCATATAGGATCTTTCCAGGCAAAATTATCACAAGATCAAAAGAAAATATAACAAGTTCATTCGACGCGTCTTGATGAAAGAAGCACGCTATTGGTTAAATTTTTGTCATTCTAAATTCTTTGGCTAAAAGTTACTGCAGAAAAAATTGTTACAATGCTAATTTCAAGCAAAAACTTTTTCAAATAATAAATGTTAATTAAGTTCTAAATTTCCAATATCCGAGAAAGCAGTTTTGCAACTTTATCAATTTCACACCATTTGTACAGAATATTGTGTACCCTCAAAGCTGTATGGCGTGGCAGGTCTTCCTGCAAAAACTATTTTGGGTTGAAATTGGTAGAAAATGACGTTTTTAACGTCATTTATGGCTAACTTAGCATAGCTTCTGAAAAACATTTTAGCTCAAGTTGTAAAGTCGATGCCCAGAGGAGTCCAGCAAGTTTGTTGACAAAGCCGTTTTCGAGCCGAGCTATCTGGCCAATGCACCTAATTTGACCAAATATGCACAAAATCTCTTTTACAACATGACCCTTCATATCTCGAACTTATTTCAGTGTTTTAATCGAGAATAATGTCTGATAATTTGACAAATGAGGTATATATAAGCATCTGTGCAACCCAAATTGATAACTTTTAAGAAACACACTGAATCTAATTTGACCAAATCTGCACCTAATTTGACCATACCTGCACCTAATGCGCACCAAATGTGTATCAAATAGCTGTCGTGCAAACGGCTAATACATGCAAAACTTTAGGAGCTATCGACAGAAAAAGAATGGGGGGGGGGGGCTACTTTGCCCATTTCTCCCTACAGGGCGCGGGCTAACTTTGAACTGACCCAAACTGACCTGTAACCTGTCTTGACCCTCGCCGCCAGCCAAGGGGGGGGGGCGGGTGCCGCACCCTCCCATAGGTTTTTTCGCGATAGTTCCGAACACGCTGGCGATAGAGAGCTGAAACTTGGCATACCTGACCTTTGATTCAAGCCAGATCTTTTCATACCAACCACATTAATGGGCTATGTCAGGTCACTGACCTATGACGTCATAAGTGAACCTCTGCACGGTCTTCAGATATCGCAACTTTGCAACGCCCTTACTGCCAGAGGAGCTTTCACAGGGAAATGAAACTTGTAGGAACTAGTATCCATTACGAGCCTCACAACTTGTATATCTCGGATTTTTCCTTAAGGTCATATGAGGTCAGGTCATTTTCGTGACCTCACCATAAGTCAATGTGGAAAAATGAAAACTGTTTTTCTGGCGCCGGAAACGATCTCCAACTGTCTCAAGCACACAGAATCGTGATTTGATGCACTCCTTGCAAGGTTCGATGCATCACTTTTGCAATGTTGACCTTGCGTGACGTCATTTATGACGTCATTAGAGTCATATTGGTTTTTCGTCAATAACTTCCGATCTAATTGAGCTAGCGAGTCGGGAAAGCCACCATTGGACTCAGGTAGACCTGCCTAATCGAATGATATGCAACATGACCTCATTCGACCAACTTCGTGACCTGGGGGCGCTGACCTGACCGTGAGCTGAGGTCAACCTCCTAGCTTGACGTCATCCAAACAAAAAGCATATCATTCGACGTGCCTGAGCGAGGCGAACACGATGCTGAGAAAATCGCGGCTCTGTGGCCGTTTTCTGCGAAGTTATCCACCAAAAACGCAACTGTACCTTGGGGCACTTCACCTGACCGTAGAGGTCACCGGTTCAGCTAGGACCTTAAAATTGAGTATCAATCTCTGCGTCTCGTAACGGCGCACACGCTCCTTATTTCCGCGACGCGCTAGCTCCACCAGGGCGAAACGGCGAGGGGGGTCGTACCCGCCCCCCCCCCCCTCGTCCGGCGCATATGTAGAAAACCAATAGGTCCGGCGAGGTTTAAAAATGCCTGAAGTAATTGATACTTGCTTCATGATTTTTTAACATTTGTTTAAAATTTGTGTTTTCGATGTCTTGTCTTTTCAATATTTTGTATTGTCAATATATATACTTTGTTCAATAACGTTTTTCTCGATATTCTGCACTTGATATTGGGTCTTCTCAATATTATGCGCTCGATATACTTAGGTACTTTTCGATATCCTGCGTTCGACATTTTGTCTTTCCGAATCATGCCGGTTTGCGATGACAAGTTCAATTATATCTTTTTTTCTAGCGGTTAGTGTTTGGGTACCAGTGGTTGTCCCCTTTGAAGTGGATTCTCCAGTCTCATAAGTGCCAATTACAGTAGTATCGCTACTCATCTTAATTGTGTCCCGTTACCATTCCTTCCATTCAAAAAGTAAAAGCAACAAACAGATCACGAATTCTAGTTTAGATGCGATGCCTGAACCTCTCTGGAGGTGGAGGTGGAGATGCCTCTCCGGACACATTTGCCGTGTTTTGCTCTGATCCTCTCCCTTCCACCCAAAGGGTGCACAAATAATTTTCCATGTTGGTCGCCCCATGCCTCAATCCCCTAGTTCGGGTCTGGGCGGTTGCCATAATCCGACATGAGTATTGAGTAGCTCCTTGGGGGCCTGGCGTATGTACATACTCTCGTGCGGTGTGATGGCCGTTAACGGGTCTGGATGGCCCGTCCAGTGTCCATTGTACTCCGCCTCAGCCCCGGCGGTGCACCAGGGAGACCGCAAAGACCAACGTCACCCTTAATCCCTATCATCGGTGCGATATATCAAACGCAATGCAGGCTAGAAAAGGATTTTTCAGGGTAGCTGATTAGGCATTGTTCCTCTTCATTACTTCTCCCCATGTTTTGACAAAACATCAGGGGGCGGATGCATGTGTGGCGATCGAAATCAATGATTTGGGGTGGAGTGCATTGAACGTTTTTTTTTTTTTTTTTTTTGACTGTTCTCTTAAACTTGTCATGGAACAGCATGGTATAAGATAAATCAAAAGGCTCTGACCCATGAGTGAAACTTATAGACCAAGTGCTCGCTGATTCTCAGATGAAGCAAGAGATTCAAAATCAAAAATATATTTCTCTTTTCACCAGCAAATCACGCATACGATCAATCATTCGTTGAATCATATGGCATAAATAACACTGTGAAGCAATAAGAAAGGAATCACTTAGTTGTAAGCAGGCTTGTAGGCGGGCTGGTAGGCGGGCTTGTAGGAGGGCTGGTAGGCGGGCTTGTAAGCGGGCTGGTAGGCGGGCTTATAAGACGGAGCGGCGTACGAAGCGGGCTTGTAGCTGGGCTTGTAGCTGGGCTTGTACTCGTCGTAGCGGGCCTCGCCCTCGTAGGTCACCTCGGCGTTGTAGCCTCCGTAGCCCTGCTGGTCAGCCACGTACTTGACCGTCTGCACACGGCCGTCGGGCAGGTTGACCGAGTAGTAGCCGTTGACGTTGCTAGCGTCGCTGTTCTCGTTCTGCGAGAAGACGGCGCCCGAGTAGTGGTCGTTGACGGCGTAGTCGAACTGGTACGGCTGAGCGGGCTCCTTGTAGGACGGCTGGTGGTAGGCCGGGGCCGGGTGGTAGGCCGGCCGTGGGCTGTAGGGGGTGGAGGGGGCGGCGGCAGCCACGGCCACCAGGGCAGCAACGACGAAGAACTGCAAAGCAAAGGATAACAATGTAGTTAGTTCAACCTGTGGTTTCTAATATCTCCACAATTAAGCAAATTTGCACATGATGAATGACTTTCAGGAAACGCTAAAAACGCTCAAAAGGCTATGTGAGCAGGTTGTGCAATATACGTGGCAAATTGAGTGGGAAGGTATAGCTCTTCAAAGACTGGTCTAGAAGACCTCACTTGGACTATCAATTTTGGTTGACCAATGACTACTGACCTTCATGCTTGCAGATTGTGTCTTTGACGACTGATACTGTGAACGGCGGACCGGCCTGCCTTTATACCAGCCAGCGACCGTAACCTTGGGTTGGAGCCGAGGGAGGGCGGGGCTGAACAGGTAGATGTGGAACACGTTACGGTTGATATTCTTTTGTGAGGAAGTCTGGTATCCAACCAAGGATGAAGGATAAGGATGACAGATTTTTATTGAAAGTTCATTGAAAGACAAATGTACCAATTACGAGCTGGCTGACTACACGGCAGTGGTTCGAACAGTCGGCTCAATTCGTGCAACCGGTCTCGAGTTGTAGCAGTAGTCCTCTCACGTGCTCATGTCCAGTTAGCATTCCGATCACAATGCAGCGTGATGGACATTCCCCTACCTATACGTGACAACGATATAGATATCAAGTTGGGGTGCAGGGATTAGTGGTGACAATTTTTTTCTGATTGGTCGAATATATCTTTTTTTAGTTCAGCGGTATTTTCTTTGTATGAATTATTTGAATTTATTTGTGACAATCTAAATAACCCTTAGAATGTACCTTTTCCACTTTGATGCAAAAGTTGCAACTGAATTGAAGTTAAATATGGAGTCAAGAAATGAAATGATCATTTAGTGTTTTCAGTAAATTCTGCTAAATTTATGTTTGCAAACAAACATGAAATTTGCACGACAGCCGTTTGCAATGTACGGCGTCAATGAAACAGACAATGACTAGAAAGGCCTAAGCACCGCCGAACAGTAATTTATTGGTGTTACACATGGTTCCCCAGGTCTTACGTTGTCTGACAAAATGGACATCAAATTGGCAACAACAAAATACGAAAATGGAATCTAAAAATGACAGACGTTGGCAAAATGCATGTTATTAACCCTCGCCCGTATTGGTGTTTTTCCAGCTGCGAACGTATAAGGGGGGGTCCGTTGGACCCCCCCTTGCCGTTTCGCCCCTGATCGAGCTAGAGCTTCGCGGAAAAAAACGAGCGTGTTGCCCGTGACGAGAGGAAGCCGATGATACCTAATTTTAAGGTTCTAGGTCATTGGTTGACCTTGCAGGTCAGGTCAATGACCCAAAAGTCGGGAAAATCGGGACCTGTTAGAACGTCGTAAAGTGTGGCTGCTATGGAGTTTTTCGGGGCGCTGATCACGAATATCATGTTAGTTTTGATCACAGATGATATCTTTATGCATTTAGTCCAGGTCGGGTCAGGTCAGGTCAGGTCAACCAGTAGGAGTCCTGCCGGGTATTCCTAGTAGGTGTCAACCGCCTCTGACAGCTTCGTAACATGTTACGAAGGCACCAAAACTACTTCGTAAATGTTCATATGGTTGCTAAATTCGAATTCAGCTCCAAAAACTGGCCTAGAAACATGTAAAACTCGCAAAAGTGGACCGATGTCACCAAAGGTCAATGACCTGACCTGACCTTCAGGTGACACCTTGACACCAACCCTAATGCATGGGGGCAACATCATATCACATGTTTCATTGCTTGAAACCACGAAAAGACTGCAAACGCGCGGCTAATGCGAGCCGACATACGCAGAATCGCGATTCCGGCCAAACATGGTCTCGAAAAGTAGGTCACAGGTCAAAGGTCATTGGGGTCAGGGTCATGAAATTTTCAGGGTAGGTGTAAAATTGATCAACGCGAGGGTACTGAAAGTTTCGTTGCGATCGGCCGCTTTTTACGCGAGTTATTCGCGAAAAACCATGGGGGGTCCGTTCGACCCCCCCCCTATACGGGCGAGGGTTAAGTGAGATCCCTCCCCCAGTCAGATGCAGCTGGTTTTAGCTAACTATTCATCATTGATATTCTACATCGGAGTGTTATTAGAACGTGTAAGTGTGTAGCAGTGTGACAGATTGCGTCTTACATCGGTACATTACACCGGTCTGCCGGGTAGCTATCTCACTGTCTCCCTTTTCCCAGAGGAAGGTGTGACCACAGTTTGACGCCATGGTCACCCACCCATGCGTGAAAGGATTTATTGTGTCCTCATCAGATCAGCAGCTGTGTTCCTGTGCTTCACTGGGCACGTGCACGCCGTTTACAGAAGCAAATGCAAGGGATATGCAAATGATATACGACTAATGAGCCGTCACGTTAACGCTATCCATCATCAAGGTTTAAAAGCATAGATAACGTCATTTGCAGCTGGTTAAGCATCTTTTGAGTTATGTCCTGGCAAATTTATGTTATGCACCTACACAGACTGATTGGAATTATAAAGAAAAACTCAAGTTCTAAAATTAGCAAATTATGGTAATAGAAGAGATTGCAATGCCGTTCATCGGTGCATCAATTTTTGCTATGTTAGCCCATGCCGGGCCGGGGGGGGGGGGGTGTCACGAATCTCAGGTCACGAACAGAATCTAACAGTTTTTCGCTAATAACTTCTGATAGAGGCGTGCTAGAGCGCTGAAAACGCCTTAGATGTGTTCGGCTCGACGTTGCGGATCGACTGATATGCAACATGACCTTTTCCGGTCAGGTCATGACCTTGACCTGAAGTCAAACTTTCAAGTTGACCTTTCAAGGTCAAATCATAGTTCATTCGACGCGTCTCGACGAGAGGAACACGATGCTGGCTAAAGTAATGCCATGGCTCTTTTGAGTCAAAAGTTATTGCCGAAAACCACTTTTCGTAAAAACGGCTATTTTTGGAGTTTTTGCCCTCTGGAGGCTAAACCGTTGACCTGAGGTCAAATCTGAGAACATTACTCAGAAAGGTCTGTAAAAGGGCTATAATGCGCTTTTCCGCGGCGCTGTAGCTCTATTGGTTCCCGAGATAGCCGTTGGCAGTTTCCAAAATGTTGAAATAGTCAACATTTTACCTTTGGTGACCTCTGGTGACCTGACCTTTGACCTGACCCAAAAAATGACTGAAGTGTTTTCGTCCTTATTTTGGACGTTCTTTCGATTGCCGCTTACCGCGTGTCGCTATGTGGCCCAGGAGCCGAGTTAGAAGGGGGGGGTGTTCAGACACCCCCCCCCCCCGGCCCGGCGCGGAATCTCAGAGCACCGGCCCGGCGCGGGTTATTGCTGTTGTTGTTACTTCTGCTGCTGCTGCTGCTGCTGCTGCTGCTGCTGATGATGATGCTTCTGATTATGATCATGCTGAGTAGGTTACTTTAACCTATAAGTAAATTGTCTCCTATTTTCTGCATTATTTGGATTACATATATGTAACTTGCAACACAAATTAACAATACCGTCATATTGCAGCGGAAAACATGTCAGGTGCAATGACCTCATAAGGTCACACATTTATCATCAAGCTACAGCTACTGGGCCGTGTTTAACAGTTCGCCTCGGTCATGTGAGCACCGGTCGCACACCTGTGACAATATGTCTCAGTGGACACTGTAAATTCCATCGAATGTGACCGGCGTGGGCCCGTGACCCAGGCATAGGTACAACACCGGCTGATCTTCTGGGTCACCGGGCGGTGCCCGATATATGCTCCCAAATACGGCACAGAATTATTGTCCATCTCGCGCGCTCAGAGCAAGGGCAGGGTGAGGCTGGGTCAGATATTGCGCAACGTTGCAAAGGTGACTGCGAGGACAATACATGAGAGGAGAAGTAGTAAGCAGGCTGAGTTCGCGCTCATGCCTGTTTTGTCAATGTGACCCGTGCACAGATGAGAGCACCAGTCCCGTGAGAGATTAGTGATGCGTGACCGTGTGATCTTACGACCTCTCCGTTCGTCTGTAAGCCGCGCCCAGTCAGCTGAGCACACTGTCCGGGCACGACACCCAGCTGGGGGCGCCTCTGTCAGCCCGATCAGTGGGGCAGGGCCGCGCTCCCTCCCCTCCCCCGCCCTCCCCGCGGCCAGGGAGGGGTGCAGAGCCCGGGTGTCGTGCCGGGGTCAGACCCCGTGACCTCCACGGTGACCTCGCCGTGACCTCGCCCCCGGATGGTGCTCTTATAGACGTCTAGCTATGCCTGATCGGAGAGGGGGCGAACCATACTACGGCGAACCCATCTGAACAGGCGCCCGCGGTGTCCGCCCTACAGCTCTGCCCGTGCGTATCTCCGTGGCCTATATTTTACCACGATGGGTGATCACAGCAAAGTGGTTTTAACGCAAATCAGCGATAAGCGTTCTCTTTCATGCCATGCGTGATCACGGCAAAAATCACTTCGTGGTTGAGTTGGCATGATGGTAGCTTCAAACACGAGACGTGAATCTTGTATTGCAAAATGTCGTTATAAGGCTGTTATGTAGTTAAGTGCTTTATGGATGCTGACGGCTCCACTGCATTGGCCCCGCTTCACATAATCAGCTCGTTCACGGTTGACGATTGGGGCGTGCTGTCAGAGCCCGTGAATGTTCCGTGACGGTCACGGACCGACCCATGGGTGCCACTCGTGACCAGTGCCGAGGTCTGCCCCTCTCCAGCTGTGTAGGATCCTTAGTGCAGAGATGAGACTATAGGAGACATCAGTGGTCTTCAATAATGGCAGTACCGTAGTGACATGCAAGGACCGATGAACCGGAGAACATTCAGCAACTTTTAAGATGGATAATGAATGTAGCATTGCAACGGTTGAATGAGCATTCTACTCACAGGCACAAACTAAAAATTATTCTTCGGTGGCAGTTGCAATGTGTCATTTTGATGCAACGTGCTGCAAGTTTCTATTTTTATCAATTGGTCTCGACATACGGTTACACATTTTACTGCAGTCAGAGCGTAAATATGATAAGTAGAATAAGATGACCTTGGACCTATGGGCGCGGTACTGTCCGCTCCATCCTGACCTCGCCCCTGCGCTCCCACCGCGAGCTAAAACGTCCGGAAAAGATGACGCTGCTGTCAGTTCTCTCCGTATATTCCAACCGCCGGCGCTGTGGTCATGGTGAGCGTACCCGCCGTCGCTGGAACTTTTGATCACCGCTGAACACCTACACAGAGGGCTATACATCTTCACATTTTTTTGTGCGCGCTGATCGGAGTAGGTTGATCATGATACCTACGAGCTGTCATCTCCCCGGGGCAGACCGCCGAGACGGAAATAGCACGGGTCACCTATTACCGTGGTTCCTCTTTCTGCCGCCTCCCTGATTGGTTGATCCTCCTGGGACCGTTGTAGTACCTACCACCACCCCCGCTTGTGCCTCTGTATGGTAAGCTTGCCCACATCCGCTGGCGAATGAAGGTGGGTTGAGTTGAGTGTGGGCAGTTGTGAAGGGGAAATATGCTGGACAGAGAATTAGCGGTCAGCTAATCTATCTGTATGTACAGTCGACTACAGAATGATGTTCCACTCCTTAGAAGCTATCAGTTGACTGGGACACTAAGTTGTGCCGTTTATCACGCAATTAAGCGTGTCGATGGGGAGCCTTGGTTACTCAGCCCGTGTGATGCGGCACAGCCTACCACTCCAGGCAATTGGTTGCCTGTGAAAAGTGGAACATCATTCTGTACAGTCCACGCTCAACTCTACCAGCCGTTTTTCCTCTACATACGATAGGCCTCAATGTAGATTGTAGAGTGAAACAAATCGAGCTAGTTTTAGCTTCCCTTTTCACTAAAAAGATGCCAAAAAAAAATATATTGATGACAACCTGGCTGAGATACATGCATCATCTGTTTTCAAATAAATAAAGAGAAGCTAAAAACGTTATTATTCGGCACCGTCAGTCACCTACAAATGACGACGTACGATTCTTGATGTGCTTCACTCAGGTTAGCATCAGCTAAACGGAGTTAGGTCGTTTCAGGTCGTGATCGCCGGCTCTTGTTCTGAAGCGCTTAGAGTTGACAAGTCTGAAGATGGGTTTAGAAGATCGACTAGAAAGAAATTCCGTGACTTTTGGATGGGTGGATGACTTGAAACCAAGTGAAAATGGGGAAAAGAAAACCAGAGGCGCTATCAGCGAACAAAGATTCCACGGAAGCAAGGAACTCGAAGCCTTTGCGTGCAACTGAAGAGAAAAGAGAACCCTGATCTCCGAGGAAAATCAATTACAGAACAAATCAGCTCTGACAGCCTGTACACAGGGGGTGAAGAGAGCAAACATTGAACCGGCAGAGGTTGATACCCGCCCTCTTTAGGGCTGACCGGACCTGAAATCAACGACACGAAAGTCCACAACATATACAAACACATCACTAATTATACAACGTGTACAGTTTCTTTATCTACTAGCTATTCGGTATCCAAGACATGGTGCTATATGTTTCAAGTAGGTTGTGCTGATAGGATGTATTAACCGTAATTTTTACACCTTTTTTGAGTGGGCCAAGTGCCAGTTGACGTTCTGATAAATAATTACAAATACAAATGAATAAAAAATCTACTTATTATTGTGGCCATTACTATCTTCAAGTATGAAAGAAGTAGCTCGAAAAAGGTCATATACATAATCCCATCTACCTCAGCTTCGCCATAGTTAACATATTTACAAAGTCCATGTCAGAATAAGTTTCTTGACGCCGATGAAAGTCAAGCCTGTTTAACATAACACGGAAAACTTTGCTAAACAGGGTATGCCCGTATTCAGCCAGTGCCTCCAGGTAATTTGATTTATCAAGCCCTTTATGAAGACTGGTGATGTTCTAGAGCAGACCGACTCTGACACCACAGCAGAAGCTCGTTTCTTCCGGGCTTGTTTACACCCCTTTGCCAAGCATTCATCGTCCACTAGAGGCGGCGCCTGATCCCCTGCGCTCTGGCCGCATTCAGAGCTAGACCCCAGCCGCCTATGGTGCGGTCACCGCCGGTGGAGCTGCTGGTGAAACCAGCACCAACCCTTCCAGCGCCAATGTTATTATCGGCACCAATCCTCTGCGCTCCTTTGGTGACAACGTCGCCTCTAGCGCCTCCCCTGACGCCGCGGGTGCCGCCGAAGTCCCTGCCTCCGCTGAAGCTGGCCATGCCGCTGCCCTTGTTGAAGACCTTGCTGCCAGTGATGGCGCTGTCTCGAGCCCGATGTCCTGGACCGATGCCGGCCATCATCGGGTCGCTCCGCCGCTTCCTGAAGCAGGAGACGGCGTTGAAGAAGCAGTGCCAGTTGACCAGGTCCTGCTCTCTGCTGCCTGCCCCGCCGGGGCGGAACTGCCGGAAACAAAATAACGCCGATTTTATTCCTGGGAAAGGTTAATCAATCGGTGGTAACCCAAATACTACATTGCGATTTTCCTCGCAAGGTTTGTCTTTTCTATGCTATACATTTTGCGTTTTCATAACAAACTAAGGTATAAATGCTAGCTAATGCTTTTGGCTACCGAAGCGGTAGGTAAGGTGGGGATAACATCTTTATCCGAGAATATATCTTGCTTCCTATGAAGAAGGAGCCTCATGTATGGCTGACGATAACAAGATACGACTGAAAATTAGGTCAGTAGCAGTCAGGGAAGTTGGCAAAAAAAAAAACGTAGGCCTTGGAACTGTCAAAGGACACAGAGGTCATAGACATAGACTTGTCAAGAAATCCCAGACCCACCTGACACTGACCACAGGATCATTGCTGGCGGACTGGTAACATAATCAATGTTTACTGCTCGCGAGTTTAACAGTAAACATCCCTATACTCATGGACACCCTTATCACAGACTCCGACGCACGGATGGCAGCGTCGTTTGTGAGATGTGACAACCCCACTTGCGATAAAAAATATATCGATGTTCCACTAGCGACAGGCCTACTGGCTGTCCCACACTAGTCCCACTGGCACCTTCCTCACTGTCTCACTGCTTACATGCTGACATACAACGACATATCGACATATCATACAGCAGTTTGTCGGCTCACCTGCGGCCCGGCCTGTAGGGCGCTGGACACAGGCGGTCCGGCCACCACGGCCCCCTGCCGGGTCACGATGGCGCTGACCCCGTGCGCCAGCTGGTGCAGCGACAGGTCAGCGCGCTTCTTCACCTGGGGACGGTGGAAACAGGTGTCCAGTCAGGTAAATTTTTATCAGTCTGCATGTCGCGGGTTAGAGCCGAAACCAAAGACGACTTGACGCTGAGGATGTTCAAAACGCACCACCTGATTTTTTAAACTTGGATCGTGTCGCAGACACCAAAATACATACCTAAGCACTGCGAGTAAAACATGAGTATTCAAGTCTCAAGATAGCCATGAAATATAAAACATAAATTGGCAATGAGATCAATCAGCAACTATCATTCACTTGTTGCACTACCCAATTCTTCATATAAATGAAGAACTTCTCTTTCAATATAACTTTCTCTCATTCCAACCCTTGGGCCATCACCGTATCGGTCTTTTTCTGGAGGCGGTCGTCGGTGAGTGACCTCCAGGGGCTGTGCCGAGGGTCCGTCGGTAACACAATTGTTGGTAATTGGTCGGTGAGCGGCCCGTGCTCACGTGGAGCTCCTCGGAGACCGTTCCAAGTTCCGACCCGGTACTGGACCGAGGAGCGGGTGGAGAAAGGTGGGCGAATAAAAACGGCGATGTACGGAACTGATGTGTGGGAGGTGTGGAGAAAAAAAGGAGGAGAGTGTCAAATTGCTTTGCAATGGAAACCTTCTGCTTTGTGTGTATGTGTATTGGGAATTGAAAGCACTGGCCTTGTCATGTCTTTTTCTTTTCATAAATATGTGAAGCTTCCTTAATTTATTTCAAGTTTGTCTTCAGCTTGAGGAAATGTGCGTAAAAGACCGTTAAACTGATGAGAAGTACGGATGATGTGATTTGTTGCGCTTACATATACATTTTCTCATTTATGGTGTAAACATCTGTTAGCAAATTATTGAAATATTACCGGTATTTCCATCACATGTTTTCCCTGGTTTTCTGGTACCATTAGTAAATTTCTTGGGACTCCTAATAAGTAAAGCTGATCAGTATCAAGTGCATCTGGGTGCTTTCATCGCATGCAATGACAAATGCCGAAATATTAGGTCGTTAGGTCTGAGCCACTAATTGATAAATTTGTGAAGTGTAAGGCGGATTTTTAGGCAATGAGGATAAGGTATGCGTATATATATATATAAAAAAAATGGTCATTTTCTCTGTGAGGTAACACTAACCGCTACACAGACGACGGATCTCAGCAAAAATGTGCTTACGTCTTCAGTGTTCTTTATGATTGCACCGACCTAACGATCATTTTGAGGCCTTCGGCTATACTGATCAGGGTTGTAGGATGATTGAAACGCTACTATTATATTTTCTATGCCTATGTCAGTGGTCAGCTTGCGGCCTATTTTGTCAATAAAAATAGAGTATACAAATGAAAGTCATTCGTGCAAAAGTCTCGGTCATTCGAAAGTCATTCTGGTCTGCCGCTATCACATCGCCGTTCAGCCTCCCGAGCTGGTTATTCATTTCAGCTCCGCCCTCCCACCGACCCAAGGTTACGGTCGCTGGCTGGTATAAAGGCAGGCCGGTCCGCCGTTCACAGTATCAGTCGCCAAAGACCCAATCTGCAAACATGAAGGTCAGTTTCCTCCGCTCAGTGCGGACAATACGCATTTGATTAAGGTCGCCGACTAAGACTACCTAAGACTACCTAAGACTACCTAAGACTACCTAACAACTACATATAACTAGGTCGTATACACCTGTGAGCATGCTGGCCAACTGGCAATAACTATAGGTCTTGAGTACTGCAAACTATTGAGTAAAAGCATATGGATGATGGCGCTAAGCCAATAGCTAACCTATGTCTGCTGTTCCTTTTGCAGTTCTTCGTCGTTGCTACCCTGGTGGCCGTGGCTGCCGCCGCCCCCTCCACCCCCTACAGCCCCCGGCCGGCCTACCACCCGGCCCCGGCCTACCACCAGCCGTCCTACAAGGAGCCCGCTCAGCCGTACCAGTTCGACTACGCCGTCAACGACCACTACTCGGGCGCCGTCTTCTCGCAGAACGAGAACAGCGACGCCAAGAACGTCAACGGCTACTACTCGGTGAACCTGCCCGACGGCCGTGTGCAGACGGTCAAGTACGTGGCTGACCAGCAGGGCTACGGAGGCTACAACGCCGAGGTGACCTACGAGGGCGAGGCCCGCTACGACGAGTACAAGCCCAGCTACAAGCCCAGCTACAAGCCCGCTTCGTACGCCGCTCCGTCCTACCAGCCCGCTTACAAGCCCGCCTATCAGCCCGCCTACCAGCCCGCCTACAAGCCCGCCTACAAGCCCACCTACAACTAAATGTTGTTATCTGTAATTGATACTGATATTTATTCAGTGTGTTGCATTCTATTTGATCTGTTCCTTTTGTATTTGCCGTTAAACGGTGCAATATCATGTCAATTGTAAACATGAATACATCGAACCTTCATACATACCTGACCATGTCTTAAGAGAAACTACGAACTTAAGCAAGGTGTCTTGAAAATAAGAGACAAAGAAGTTTCATGGGTTCTATAGCTACGAAAATTATACGTAGCACAAAGGGCACATACTATACATTACATATTTGCAAAGAAAAACAGAAATAGACGATACCTTATGATAGCCGCAATGAAATTATAGACATTTGTAGTTTGCACCACATGCGACCATTATGGGTTCTTTTGTGGTGGTGTAAATGTCGCGCTATAATGTGTCACAAACCTTACATAACATCACCATATCAGCTTCTGGAATATCTTTCCCGCTCATGCGTGGAACGCGCAGAGAACGCGCAGCTCATGCGTGGAACGCGCCTTTTGCGTGAACCATATCCCTTTTTCAGTCGTCTTAGTGCTTGTGCAAGGAGCATTTGTACTTTAAAATACTTTGTGAATGACCTCTCCTTGAAATTGTATGTAGGATATATTTTACAAAAAAGGCAAATGCAGAAATGATAAATTTTCGATCACGGACCTTTGTCAAATCACATTCAAAATTCAAAGGGACGTGAATTTTGAATGTGATTTGACAAAGATCCGTGATCGAGAATTTATCATTTCTGCATTTGACTTTTTTTTTGTAAAATATATCCTACATACAATATCAAGGAGAGGTCATTCACAAAGTATTTTACATATAGCCCTTTCTCTATACATGCATGCATGCATTCATACATGCGTCCAGCTAAATGAAGCAGTTTATGATAACATCAATGAAACATGTAAGGGGCTGTCATCCCTTTCAAGATGACTGTTATATTGTCACAATATAGGTAGCTAAGTTATGTCACATGCTATAATGAACGCAAAATGGTAATTGTCTATGGTTAGCAAAAAAGTTGTGAAACATTGGAAAGCTATTAGTTATCATTTAAGGTGGTTAACACATTACAATACAGCGTGGCTAATGTCGAAGAACCAACACTGCCTAACAGCCGAGCCTAAATAAAGTAACTAATCCTAAAGCTGAAATGATTTCGTTTAACCCTATTAGTGGCAGGGGGGGTTGTTTTTATCCATCCCTCAGGTTTTTCGGGAATATCTCCGAAACCGCTGAAGCTACGATGCTGAAATTTTCTGACTTTTCCTAAAACTAAATTGGGCACATTCCCTGAAAATTTCAAGTTCATAACTTTACCAGGGGCGGCTCCAGAGCACTGGAAATTGGGGGTCCTATTCGTGAAGCGAGTCATTTGGGCGAAGATCACGATGCTGCACCAGTTTTACGAACAGTGAATGAAAGGTATCATGTGATAACATATACAAAGTTATTGTGCATCCTCTTTTGACACATTTTTGCTATAATAGGCGGATCCAGGCGTCCAAAAAGGGGGGTTATTTTTTACCTCCCAACATAGGTGCCCTGACACCGCCTATGCATGACCAATACAATTTTAGTCGTTCTCTCATAAGAAAATTGTAACATAACAAGACCATTGCCACCCTTTTTAGAAACAGTACCAACAAAAACCTTATTTACTATACTTTTTGTGTACCCCCAAGCTCAATGATCTGTATCCGCCTATGATTTTTGAAAATGCATATTTTTAGGATCCATGTGAATTCCTGGTTCATTCTCTATCGATCGGCAAAAGTTGCGTTAAGATTGGTTCAGAAACCTGGCCGTGATAAACAGTCTAAAATGTATCTGCAATTTGCCCGTTTTTACCCCCCTCTACCCCCCTATTGACATTCTTTAATTTTATTTTTTTAGAAATGTAGATCTCGTTGAGCCAAATCGAATGCCGTTTGAATTTTGAAAATCGGCCGGTTAGATCTCGAGATATCAAGGGGGGGTCGTAAACAGCCCCCCCCCCCCTGCCACTAATATGGGGTAGCCAGGAGCCTGCCACTAATAGGGTTAATCAAAGGGAACGTGTTTCTGGAAACCTGACTGGCTTTCACATATGTATATCTATCCTATCATTCGTTGCATCCGAATCACAGCGCCATTCACCTTTCCGCCTACAAGCGCACTGAATGGGTAATAAAGTGAAACTGCGATTATAAATCTGTCAACTTGTTATCGTTCTTACTCACTGATTGAGCCATCAGAATTATGCCTCAACCGTGCGCAATAGCAATATGATTAAAGTACGCATCAAAGTATTCAATCAAAGTGTTTTGAAACTGATTAGTGAGCGACTTGCATCATTGCTCACTTTGGTCCTTCATTGCTCCGGGCCTTCAATGCGTCAAAATATTAAACAAACTAATGCAGAATATAACATTTAATATCTTTAGAGAGGGTGCTGCCGCACGCTGATTTGCAAATGGAGTGTGACTATTTTCGCTGTTTGTAATTTGCATGTTTACTTACATTCATGTCAGATAACATCAAAACACCATTAGCGAACATATTTGGCAGATTTGATGTCCCTATAGCTCTACTATCGAGGCTGCAAATGAAAGGCGCGGTAATAAAGTTAGACCCATTTCAGACTGGTAGAGGCATGGTAAATAAACATCAGACGGGCAGTCTAATGCATGATGAAAATCAAATATATTATTAGGTACATGGCTCGTATGTTATCTGGGTGTGTAATAATATTGACTGCTGACCGCAATGCTCAAATTTAATTTCCTTCTGGAGGAATACATTTTTTGTCAGTGACACCATAACAACGGTCAATAATAATCCGGCCACGCGTGTGTGAATCCTTTTTTCTGAGCGGCGAGATATTTAATGATATTTATTAGCGAGTTGGGGTGGGCCATATGATAAAATGATTACCGTATGGGGTAGGGACGATAATAAAAATTGTTGCCATCTGTGACGCCACTGCAGCCCTCGGGCGAAGACCTCAACAAGCACTATAATTGCCCTCGGTTACACCTCGGGCAATAACGCATGTTTCGGTTTTCCCTTCAGGCTACAGTGATATCACATCGGGCAATATTTTTTTTTCTATTACCCGCTACCTCATGAATATTCATATATTATTTGCATGGATGGATAAATCATTCACTGGGCCATGGCCTGGATTATCAACTTAAACGCATACAAGCATAGTTCTTTTCGCTAGTATATCCGCCTATTGGTAGATGGTGGATAGCGTGTACCTAAATGTGTTTACACAATATCCATGTTATTTCTGATGGAGATATCCATGACATGGCTGAGACAAAGTGGAATCACTTTCGCTCCTAAAAATATAAACAATAGGAGCCAAAAGTGATTGACTATGAAAATTCAATTTTAGTGACAATACAGCCAATAGTTGATCGGAGCCCAAGAACGGTTCGTAAGTACCTAGCTGGAGCATGCTTTATGGCAGTGACATAAGAACACTGCTTGATCGGTTCAAAAGATTTAAAAGATATTGCAACAGCATAGGCTTGAACTGGATGATTCGGGTCACTAACCGATTTTCCCCAAGTTTCATCTCGCTTGCGAGCTGCGCACCCTCGCTCGTTAGTCATCGATATAGATGGCTTGGACACAGACGTTTGCAAAGAAACAACCACAAGCATGCGGCATGCCGCCAGCAGCGTAACAAAAAGAAATGTCCTCCTTAGCTAGCTCATTTATTCATACTGGCTCTAAAAGGTATGAATGAAGCCGTCGTAGAGCATTTTTAAAATTTAAAGTGCCTCACAAACTGCATTCTCCCCTCGAATCATTGTATGTAAACGCATTTAGTTGGCACACCGATAAACCACAAAAGTGTCAACGTGTCAAAAGTGTCGGCGTATCAGGTTCAATTACTGCGTTGACAAATTTCATAACTGATGTTATCTTTCATTTTTCCACTACCGGCCTCCATCGTACAGAGCGTGTGAAAGGGGAAGGCTAATAACATAGCTACTGCTACACCCTTCGTGTCATTTCTGTTCCTAATGTCCTTTCAGTCGAGTTAAGCTCACCACAACTCGAAACATGTCGAAGATGACGTCAAATGAATTCGTAGTGCCGCATGGTGCCGTGTCGCCGATCGCCCATCCCCAAAGCACAGAAATTTCTGTACACTGTGAATGTGCTGATAAATATGTAGAGCGATCTTCTTGATCGCGATCCTGATATGTCAAGGTCGTGGTCCTGAAAGACGATTCAAAGTGGTCACCAGGTGGATGCGCTCGTAAAATCAAAAAGATGAAACGTCGTCGAAATCTGCTCCACCTATCAGCGTAACTATATTTGAGGTGGGTGCGTCTGTCTGTTACCGAGGTCCCGACATGGTGACCCATAGCGCGGATTACAGGTCAGGCCGTTGCGCCTAGCGCGGTGAAATTTGCACAGGTTATAGATCAAGGATGCGCGAGGTGCGGGGTGCCCTAAGGGGTCTGAGCTAATCGGGTCGATAAGGAGTGCGTGGTGCGTATCCAAAAAGTGCAAGCGTCATAAGCTTGACATGCATAAATCGGCATGCAAAATCGGGAGAAAACGGCTAAATTTGCCTGATAAATAGGTACTAATGCAATCAAAATATTTTTGTAAACGTTGTGAAGTGATTCCAGCCAAACACTCATGCAAACAAGGATGCAAAACTTCATCGATCTAATAAAGGTTTTGCTAAAACCATTTATCGTTCATAGTTACCTCTTCTTACTGATTAACCGGTCGACATGGCATAAGGATAGTTAATCTTACTACCGTGTGTTACGTTCAACGGCATCCGTCATCTTACATTTTTCTTTTAAGATTCGCTGTGCTTAAGCTGATGTGGAGTTAAGCTCACATAGGCACCATATAGAAATGAGCATTCCTACATGCCGGGGTATGTCTTAAGCACAGCACGAGCCGGGCAGTAAAACTATGACCAAGAAACTGTCGGTGTCAAAATGCCATGTTATTTGATAGGCCGGGCAGGAAACAAAAGTTTACTGCCCGAGTTTACTGCCCAGGGCAATGACCTCTAAACTACAGTTTATCGCATTAGCCCAGAGGTATAATCGACAGGGAATGTACAGGGTGATTTTTTTTAACTGTTAAAAAGTAAACGTCAATGGTGGTCCCTAAACCGAAAATTCTTGTGCAAAAAAACAATGCACGTGATAGATAAATCTGGGACATTTTGTATGGTGTCATGATTTGTCCCTTTTAACCGAAGGCCTCGGCCCCAACGGAGCCTAAAAATGTCTCACCAATCGGGCACGCATGGTCCACCGCCGTTCAGTAAGGAATGACACAAAACGGTGATTTTGAAGCATTGAGGCAGTTCGAAGCATACGATCATTAAGGAGATACCTTAGAAAGACGTTTAATAATGCACGAACAAGCTTGTAGTAATAAATAACCTTCAAACGGTCCATCTGGGGTATGTGCAGCCTATGAAGAATCAGTCTTCAGGGACAAACAAAAACAGCGAATCAGACACCACCAGGGTCGCCAGTAGCAAAATCCTCGACCTGCCCTTTCTAGACTTCTAGTTTTTGGACCCAGATATGGCAGATATAACAAGAAAACATTGGAAATATCTGGCAGAGCTGAAAATGGGTGATAGAAGCCTTTTCAGTCCGCCTAATGAGCATGGGAGTCCATGGTGCTGTTCAACACGTGCTCAGGCGGGCTGAGTCGTGTTGGTGAAAGAGGGGGCAACTTCAAGCACAAGTAAAATAGGTACACGATGGACGTTCCTTCACATCGTGTCTGCATGAAATCAAAATGTCCCAGAATGCTCGTCATGCTGGTATATAATTTTACAATATATATTTGCATTTTAACGCCACTAAACCTCATTACTTTTTAACAAATAAAAAAATCACCCTGTATAATTGACATAATTATTGCATGATATTTGCCGCGTAAAATTAGAAAACTAACATTTTTTGTAAGAAATATCTGCTCTGCTTATCAAGGGTATTGAAATATTGTGTATTGGTTACAAAGCCGAAATTATGGTAAGATATGCGCCTATAAATCGAAATCTGTTATCACTTGTTGTCTTATCTTCGTTTGATATATCTACTGATACCTTGGGCCTAAATTATTGCGTTATTATTTGACAGTTATAGTCCTTTCCTCGAAACAGACATGTAAAATATGGAAAATATAATGTATTTCACGAAACTTAAGCCATAGGGCATCAAAAAAGCACGATTAGGTACATAAATAAAGAAAAGATTCTTGCAAGAGCACTGGAAAATTCACGTTTAATCATTAGGAATATTATATCTACTTCTTGTTCTTATGTCGTGGCAACATATTCATATATTAATTATGTTCCTTGGATATCCAGTTGTTGTGCCATTCTGAGTTGATATTTTCAGACGCGATTCTTTTTGAAGGTATTTTGATGCATTTTCTTCTATAAATTTTATCCACAGCAGTAGCGCAATCACTGTTAGGAAATTATGGACAAACAAATTGTATAAAAGTGTCACCAGAACCTGTCGAAACTACTTAGCAGGTATGCGGCATGTAGGAAAAATCTTACTGACCTCAGCCGTACGAAATTATTTGGAAACTCGGCTTGCAAAATTTGACTCCGGCCCTCGTGCTCCGCACTCGGGCCTCCGTCAATTTTGCAAACCTCGTTTCCAAATAATTTCGTCGGCCCGGTCAGTAATATATACTGCTGAACGACGGATGCTCATGTTAACCACGTGTTTGTAGAAGAGTGCCGATTATGTTCAATAAACAAATGCACCAATCTCTTACCAATTCTGAGGGGCTATAGGAGTGCCGAACTGCCTCCAGGTTAACTCGGCCACCTTCGACGACAGCAGGGACACAGCTCAGGGTGAAGAGCGCCATCGCCGCCGCCGCCGCCGCCGCCGCCGCCGCTGCCATCGTCCCTGTGAGTGGGCTCGGTGGCGGAGAGCGGTCGGAACCGAGCCCGGCCGCCGCGCCGCCGCACCAGCCCGGCACCCGAGCTCCGCGGGAAAGGCCAGAATTGGTGTGAAGATGTAGAGTCAACACAGGATGGTGTGCTATATGCCCAGCGCGCTAAGTGATATTGATGATTCGCCAGGTGATGCTTGGTCCCAAAGAGAAGCTAGATAAAGATTAGGTCACGAAAAGTGTGTCACAAAGCCTAATGCAGCACAAAAATTATTTACTTATATATGTACATGGAAGCATCTATTGACCGTATTGAATAGCCAGCGGGGTCCTTTACGCCATCAAACGTTATTTACATTTGTTCTCCTCTAATGCATATTCTGCTAGCATAAGACTAGTTATGCTGCAGTATGTGGGTGCGCGTGAGGTCAATCTCACGGCCTCCTCACCTGCATTCGCATCTCCCTTTTGGGCATCTGCTGGGCGTAAACGAACGTGTTCTTGGACCGGCTTTGCCAGTAATATAGTCAGTTGCGCAGTCTGCGCCAAAGGTCCAGCAGTGCTTCCTAAAATACAAACTGCTTTCTTGGCGACGTTATCTCAACAATGATCTAGGCAGCAACAGTCAACATGAAACAAATGCGTGACTTTATCATAACACAATGTTCGGAGGCACGGAATGGGTTGCCACCACCATAAGCACAGCAATCGTCAATTAATGAGAAAGACGACAGTAAACAACATAAGCGCGCATGATGCTTATCCTCACGGTGTGACAAATAGAAGAAAATCGTGACATTCAGAGCTCATATTTCGTCATTCCTATGTCTCACGGGTCTGGTTTCGCATCAGACTTCCCTTCCGCCTCCGACATCTTGGCCAGGGTGTGCAGCAGCTCGAAGTAGAGGTTCATCAGGTTCTCCAGCGTCTGATCCTGCAGGTCGAGCGTGTTGAGCAGCGACAGGATCCAGACCGGGTTGGTGCACATGTCCTGCACCGTCGTGTAATCGTCATGGTTGAGCGACTCCTGGAAGCTCTGCACCATCTCGTAGAAGTTGCTCCAGTTGCCGCGGCGCTGTTTCTCCATCATACGGTTGATGTCTTCGCGCTGACGCTGCATCATGAACGCCTTCTTTCGCCTGACTGCCAGCTCACGCTCGCGGCGCCGCTCCTGGCGGAACGTCTCGGTCGCCTCGCTGATGTTCATGATGATGATGCCGATGAAGACGTTAGTCATGATAAAGTGGCCGATGCAGATGAAGCCGATGGTGTAGAGCCGGCTCCACTTGCCGGTCATGTCGGCGCCGTCGATGTTATCCTGCACGGCCGTCCAGCCGTCGGCGGTGACGTAGGTAAAGAGTGATAACATCGCGCGCCCCAGAGTGCCCCAGTCCTCGCGCGCCGCCTCGTCCGCCGCGAACTTGTTGCTGCCGAACAGGTAGTAGCCGACGACGCCGAACAGGAACATGATGAAGACGAGGAGGATGATGACGCTGACCACGTAGCGCCGGATCGTGTCGATCAGCGCCGACACCAGCACCTGTAGGTTGGTCGAGAAGCTGACACTGCGCAGTGTCCGCAGCGCCTTCAGCGCCCTGAACATGCGGAACACCATGACGCCGCCAGCTCCCTTCACGAACATCTCAATCACAGGCTGACAAAGCGACACGACGACGAGAAGGAAGTCGAACAGGTTGGACACCTGAAGCCAGTAGTTTTTCGGCTCAGCGTAGATGCGGAGGATAGCTTCCACAGTATATATCGCCAGCAAACTCTGATCGACGATCGCCAGAGCCATTTCGTACTCGTAGCGCAGCGTCGGACTGGTCTCCACCGCCAGCACCACAGTATTGAAGATGATCATCAACATGATGAAGCCGTTGAAACGCGAGGATTCTGTGAGCGTGCAGACAAACTTGTGCAGGTCCTCGTCCCAGCGGGTCATCGTGCGCGATGAGTCCCTCTTCTCGATGCTGGAGCGCACGGTGATCACGTTACTGGGCAGAGTCGACAGTTTCCTGGTTTGGACCGGAGTATCTACCTCACCACTTGACTTGGACTTCAGCTTTCTACTCGGCTGCCGACCCAAAGCCCGTGTGTAGAGCTTGGATGACTTCATGGTCAGGTCACCCTCGCCAGGCGCGTTCACAAGCACCTCGTTTTGCGAGCTGGTGGGGTTTAAAAAGGCGACATTTAGCATTGAGCCCTTGTAGTTTCGCGACTGCTGTCTGTGAACAAGCGTTTCCATTTGCTCGGAAACAGCCATACCAGTACCATCAGGTTTGGAACGGTTCGACATCGCTTATTGTTGATGGAGAACGTGTAGGTACAAATATGTCCGGATTGGATGTATGTGACAAGTAGTTACTTCTTTGTGCTAAGTGCTTCTTCTTTGTGCGGCAAAGGGCTCTTCACTGAGCTCTTACATTTAATAAGCGACTAAACCTATTATTGTGAATATTTAAGGATGTAATGCTGTGATATGCGATGCTCATCTATTTAAAAGAATGGAGAATGGGAGAATGGAACAAATCTATCCGATCCTTGATCCCAAGCTTGATCCGATCCAATCCGATCCAATCCGATCTATCGAAAAATTCCAAGCGTCACGTGATATAGGCATACGCGTGTTCTCTGAGCTTAGATGTTTTCAGCACAAGAAATAAATGCCACACCGCAGAGTTTATCGAGCGCAAAGCAAGGAGTCAGATGAAAAGTTTATTGTAGTTATCATGATCTTCCATGAAAATTAGATAAAACATAGACACCAGTTTTTTATGCTACCAAGAGTTCACATAAATCTATGACAGCATGGTCCATGCTATCTCTGTGTTCACCTAATTATACAGGAACGAAAATCGTGCGGATATTAGAACCCACATGGGTTCTATGTTTCATTCCAGCCTCATGCATCACGGTATTGCAGGTGTAGTTAGCCTCATATACGTCAGCGCATTTCCCGTCTACCCTTACTCGCCGAAAGAGCTGTGTCATGTGAGAGAGAGAGAGAGAGAGAGAGAGAGAGAGAGAGAGAGAGAGAGAGAGAGAGAGAGAGAGAGAGAGAGAGAGAGAGAGAGAGAGAGAGAGAGAGAGAGAGAGAGAGAGAGAGAGAGAGAGAGATAGAGAGAGAGAGAGAGAGAGAGAGAGAGAGAGAGAGAGAGAGAGAGAGAGAGAGAGAGAGAGAGAGAGAGAGAGAGAGGAAGAGTAAGGGGAAGGAAGAGAGCTTCTGCGGCTCTTCGCCACTGGTCATCGATCGTATTTCGGTTGTAACATTTCGGTAACATTTCGGTTAGTATCATATTTAACCCGCGCCCCACTGGGGTCTGCGTATAACACGCCCTACTGGGGGGGGGGGGGGCTATTCATAGCCCCCCCTCCTAACTCCGAAACTACTGGGCCGATCGTCAAAATTCAAACGGCGTCTGATAGCCCCGGAAAAACTGTCGAGCGAAACCTAATTTCATTGACCTCGAGGTCACCGATGACGTCACAGGTCAGGTCAAAGTAAAAATTATTAGCATTTTGGCTTCTTCACGTTTTGGGCTCTGGCCGCCGTCTTACAAGTCAGATCAGGCTCATTTTTGGTTCACACACTCGTGAACAGATGCTCTAGATACTCTGAGGGTACCAAACTTGTACTTTGATTTTCAGGTCAAGGTCAGGTCATCACAGGTCACGAAAATATTATATCATCCGTCGGTCACGTGACACATGTTTTATGGTCCATTTAGGCCAAACATTTCGAATTTGATGTCGTCTGTGTCATTCGAGGTCATTTTGAGTCAAATTTAGCTCAGGTCAGGTCACTTTCAGGTCAAAAAAGGTCAAATTTTGAAGTTATAATTTTTCAATAAAAAAGATGTCAATTGGATGCAGTTTGAGCTCAGGAACACGATGGTGCTATTTATATTGGCGTATGATGTCAAATTCGTGCTGAAAAATCGATTTGAAAAATTAATAATTGTTAATTTTTTGCAATAATGCGTATAACTTGGCCATTTTTGAAGATATTTAGCTTAAACTTGCTAGACTTAGTCATAATAATGCGTTCTATCACATATATTCCGGTTTTTTCGAAAAGTCAAAAAGTTTTTGAAAAAAAATGTAAAAATATAAATTTTGAATTTTATTATATAAAATTTTCGTAATTTTCAAAATTTCGAAAATCCGAGATAGCAGTTTGATAGCGCAGTCTATTCTGAGTCCGCTCATGCAAAGAAATTGGATCTAGCTTAAAAACTGAGCTCTTGGGAGCGATTGCCGTGGTTCAATGTTTTGCGTCGAAATCGGCCGAACATGACGTCACTCTGACGTCATTTCCGGCCGACCTATGGTAGGTACGAAGTTCAAATTTTGACACAAGGCGTCAAATTGATGCAGCCGAAGGTGCTGAAAGTTTGGCGTCGATACGTCAAGCGGTTTGGAAGTTATTGCAGAAAAACGGGAGGGGGGGCTATAAATAGCCCCCCCCCCCCAGTGGGGCGCGGGTTAATAGCGTTTTTTAGGACTATCTTCCCAACTCCACAATAACACCTACTAAAAAAAACGCAAAAAAGTTAAAAAGATAAGTCCCAATAAACTACCTAATACCTGCAAAATAAATTTTCGCTTTTCCGTATGCGGTATGCAGTTCGGCTACTGTTCCCGTAGTTCCTACCCCAACTATGTACTCGTAAGTACCTATATGCATCTTTAGCTTATTTGGACAGTCAATGGCTTCCAAGTTTCATCTGATAGCTTTGGCTTATCTTCTAAGAGATCTACGGATATTTTTAAACCTCTCCAAACCCATTGAATAACTGCATAGTGCATACGCCGAACGGGTTCGTTTGGTACGAACCGGCTCACCGTTTTACCCGTTTTACCTCTCACTGAGCTAGACTCTTATTGCGATAGAGATTCGTAGTAAAACAAGAGCTTGTTCGCTTTACGAAAAGCTGCGAGTTGTGCTAAAACTGGGAACATATACTACAATCGTCAAAAGCAAACGCCGCCTCAGAAACTCCGGCCGAATGTCGCCGCTCCGCCGCGCCAGCGCGGGACTACGTGCCATGCGGCACAGCATGCCTTCAGGCGCAGACTACCAGTGACATCTAGCGGCGGAATCGTAAGTAGCCGAATGTAACGCATCAGCAGCAAAACCGTTCGAAAAGAAGCCGAGTACAGTCGTGCCCGACATGCTTGTTTATCAGTTGATGAAATATACTTCATTCAGTTCCCCTCCCCCCTCCTCCACTACCTACAATTCACCCCGTCGCGCGGTTCGTCGGAAAGTCATTTCATTCACAAAAGAAACGAAACATAGCATTCGAAAGCTGACGGTGAGCTGATTCCAAAATGTAATTTTTATCAAAATCGTTCGATGGCCTTTCTAAGCAATTGCGTGTTTGTAAAAACGTAGTACATACCTATATATATTTTTTATTCAACGGGCTGTCACGTTCGGTCGAGCGACAGCCGAACGTCCCTTCCGTGGCCGGTCAGACGGGCCGAGAGCGCCGGGTCTGCGCGTCGATAAGGGTCATTTCACGCTTCTGTCTGGCTGACTTTGGTCCATCATGAGACTGAATTGTGTGATTGCGCCTTATTGGCGGGTTGAGACGCATATAATTATACACATTTGAGAATGTGTTCGCTAGAAATTGTTTTTCGATTTTACCTTTCACTGGAACGCGAGAAAACATGCCTATGATTTCAGTAATGTCTTGGTCAATGGTCACTCAGGACAGCTTGTTGAATAAAAAAGTATTACATTTTGACCAAAACACAATTTTTTAAAAAGGCTATCGAACGCTTTTGATAAAACTTACCAATATCTTTAAATCAGCTCACCGTCAGCTTTCGAATGGTAAATCTCGTTTCTTTTGTGGATGAAATGACTTTCCGACGAACGGTGGTCGTAGCTGGGGGAGCTGGGCTGTCGGCGCCGTATGCCAGATAGACGAGTACACTGGACCTATAATACGCTTCTGATCAACCCACTCACTCTATTGACACCCCATTGGCCGTTCCTTTCACACCCAACCAGCGATATGTGGTTAGCGGGCCGCATCTCCGTCCGTTTCCGTCCCACTGTATGTCGACAATGCGTCCTCATAGCCACAGTAAAAAGGCGCCAAAAGTGGATACGGTCACTCATCAGCGCCTTTATTCACCGAAATATGGACTGAATGCTCGCATAGGGTAGTGATCGCAATGACATAGCTTTTTTTACGACATGCATAGCACACGCGTGACCACGTTTGGTTCTCGTGTATGTTTTCTCGGGACAAGCTGATGCATGTGACGATATTCCAATTTTTAGCCCATCCCAATTGGTTCGTGTAAGGCTAAGCGAAAAGCGCCCTTCATTTAATAAGATAAAACATACTTAAAACTAAAATACTTCTGAAAAGGGACGGCCATTCCTCATCACTGAATTAAATGCAGTTCCTTTGTCGGTAGATACAGGTAGTAAAATATCCATCTGCACAGATGGCTGAGCACCCAAAGTTCAATCTTAAAGATACCTTTAATAGGATCGGAGAGCATTGGCTGAAGCTCAGAGCTACATGAAATGGCTGTTAGAGGCAAAATGTTTTTTTACGCTCTTCGACATCCCCAATAATCGTTTTGTTAGATTGGATGCACATTTTTCAGCATCGACTCCCTTATATCGACGGGTTACCAATCACCGTACATGTAAAATTACGGTACTTTGTTTGCATTTTACCTGTGTCCAAATACTGTGCAAAATTATTTGGGCATTTCCCGTCACTTGCCAACCCCAGATTTCCTCCACAATCGCGCCCATCTCATCGCTCTCCGTCAGCATATCGCCCCTTTTTCACCAAACAAACACAAACCTAAACGCACCGTACTTATGACAGGACAATGTATTAGCGGCGTCAACGGAACTCCAACGCAAGACACGTGCGTGGCGCTGGGAGCACACCTCCCAAGTCAGACCCAATATAGGTCCGGGACTCCGGGTCAATGTCAGACAGTGCGAGTCTTCACAGTCCCCCAAAACACCTCAGATGGTCACGTGACGGTCGGACACAGCTCAGATGTTGGCGATGAGCGTCTCGAGCTGCTCTTTCGAGTACATCTGGAAATTGTTCTCGGGTGTGATGGTGGCCAGTTCGACGTTGGAGGCGTTCAACTTCTCCTCCATCACCTGCTTCAGGATGGTCAGCGCCGACTTCAGCGCCTCCTTCAGCGTGATCGACTGGGAACAGAGACAAGAGAGTCGGGTCAGCGGTGATGGTACGGGCCAAGTAGTTAGCTATTTTTCTTAAACATTTAAAACGGTTTGAAGACAGGTCTGCTCATGACTGCAAAGTGCTGGAAATATTTGTGTTCGACAGTCAGCGCGATCAGACTTGTCCAGTGACGATAAATTGGTTCATTATTACATGAAATAAAATTCACGAAGACCATGTTGAGTTGCAACACATAGACACCAGTGACCTGTCGTTGTAGATGGTACAGTTGGGTCAGGAAAGATCCATAAAACAAAATTACCGCCCACGACTACCGCAGGAGTTTGGGTGCGTGACAAAGTGCCATGGCCGGCAGACAGTGGGCTGCCATGGCCGGCAGACAGTGGGCGCATGTCTGCAAGTTCGCTGCAGCGGTACCCAACTGTAAACTGACCGGGACGTGCGCTCCCCGCGGATTTCGCCCTGTCCCGCTGATTGTGAGTGATGACACCACATTAGACGACAATCCCAGTCGGCACAACTGACTAACGACCGCGAGCTCCGTCCGTGGGAGAGACGAAACCAGAGCAATATCCCAACGAGTCATTAGCAGCGGTGCAACCGGAAACCGTATGAATATCACGGGAATGGAGTATTATGGAACGAGCGATCGGATAGCGAGAACACAACCAACGCAGGGACAGGTGATTGTTTATGCGTCGACAGGTGAATAAACATGCAATTAGAATAAAGACAGGTGATTCGATAGTAGCGTCCCGCTATGATGCGCATTCTCCAGCCCAAGGTGCGTCACGCCGCGACTGGAGTCTGCCCCGTGTCCCGACATCCCCCTCCCCCCAGGGACTGCAAGTGGTGCAACGCACCCCTCGAGAATGCCGCAGAGGTAGGCAATATCCACGGCTTGCGGCAACACAAATAGAGCGGCCTTTCAGGCGGCGACCGGTCTATTCCACTGAAGCAGCACCGGTCGGGTTAATGTCGCCGCCGCCGAAGGGGCAGCGTCACTGAGTTTGGGTCACGACCAGACGGACCCTGCGGCCGGAGAGGGGTGGCGAGACGACGGGCGGGGTGGCGGGACGCCGGAGAGGGTGGCGGGGCGACGGGCGGGGCGGAGGGGATACCTGCCTCCGTTGCCGGGCGCTACTAAAGAACTTCAATAAACCCGTGCAAAAATCGCTGTCGTTGATAACGTTTTTGGCTAATTGCTTTCGAAACTACAGAATAACCAGAAAGAATATCTTTGAAAGCCAGATCAGTGCCATTTTTATTACAGTGGCCCTGATTTTTTGCCGTCTCCATTTGTCTGATCAAAGAAAACGGGAAATAAAACTTAAGACCCATCATTTTGCGTTGGCCCTCTCACTATGTTACCTAATTACGAATTTTCCACTTTCCGTGCGTGTCTACACCGACAAGTCCTCCCTGGTTCTCCTTAGACACGATTCTCGGCGCCCAGGGAGCGTTCAGCCCAACACGGACCCGAGGACAAAGCTGACGCGACAGCGGGGTGTCCAACCGGGGCACTGTGCCCGCGACGACAGGACCGTCCCTCGTCCTACACGTCAACCATCTCTGGGAGATTGGCTCGAGTGGCTCTGTCTGGACCGACGGGCGGCGGCCGCCCCCGCCCCCGCCCCCGCCGCCGCCGCCGCCGCCCCCGCCGCCAACACCGCCCCGTCCTCAGCTGAGTGAGTCGCCCGGCAGCACGGGACTGAACACGCCAACACCAATGCCATAATCAGTATGTACACTGTACAGGAGCCGTGTAGGTCTGGCGGTACGGATTTGGACGGGACCGATAATTGGTATCTGGCTTACGAAATTCACTTGGCTCGGGCGGTCTGCAAATACATTGAAATTTTGTAGCTTCTTCGAGACCGAACCGAAACACCACAGAGCTCCGTTTTACAGGCAAATGATTTAAGGGATCATTTCGGCGGTTCGTCGTGCTCATGCTGCACATCTTTAAAATATAAGAAAGGGTGACGATCGTATCGAAAGGGAAAATTGAGACACAAATACTCTTGCATGAAAATAACGCATAAAAAACAGCACGCAGATCGAAAATTCGCGCATCTTTCTTACAAACGGCACCTAGCCATTCCTAAAACAACGAGCATGTTGGACACTATTGTCGTGAATTAGCTAGTATCTGAAGTTCACGCTCGATTTAAACCCTCCCGGCGCTCCATGCATAGAACGAGGTTATTTACAACACAAAGCATAAAGCTCATCGCATTATTCCACAATGAAACACAACAGAACCCTAATCCCCTGACGCAGCCGTGAAGCAATTAAACTGCATTAAAGGGACTGTCCCACCTTCAAAAAATTGCTTTGATATACTGTTCTTGTGTTGCAAGACATAGATTATGGGCCCCTTTACACGAAATTGGCAAACATTCGGCCCATAGTTGGCTAATTGTTTAAAAATTCCAATTTAAAGCTTTTGGATCGATTACGTCATATGCTTGTTTTTTTATCGGGCAAAGTTTTTTTCCTAGCTGCCAAATCGGTGGCACAAAGTTTTGTTACGCTTCTGCCGCGAATAGCACAAACATTGCGCATGAACTCAGGAAATTGATAAACATGTTCAATGTTCATGGAAAGGATTGAAATGAAAATTGGAAAATTGAAGCTTGAACTTTGTCCAGAAGAAGGTCGCAAACTGTAAAGAATATCAACAAGGCCTTATTTATCATTTTTAAAAGGTTATAGAATGCTCCCTAATAAGCAAAAGCAAGATATTGATGTTTGATTATTGATGCTGCCCACAATGTCTTGGGCACATGGATGATGGAAGTGAGCTCAACTTCAATAATCAGACCTAAGAATCACAATGGATATAGCCATGAGCCAGACTGCAAAGAAGGGCAATTTTGTCTAGATTTTGTCAGTGCGGAGTGCGGACTCCTTCGTCTGGTGCGGATTTAAGTGTGGTGCGGTGCGGATTTGGTTTAGTGTGGTGCGGATGTAGTGTAGCGGGGTGCGAATTTGGCTTGCTGTGGTGCAGATGTGTAGCATTGTGGGGATTTGAGGTCAGTGCAGATTTTGACTGGCCATTTTGGGGTTCGGTGCATTTTTTGTGTTCTCTCAGGCCTCAGCCCCCTTTGGTGTGAATTTTCGGGCTCTGTTTGAAGGGTTTGTGTCAATTTTGAGCTTGGGAGTTGGGCCAGTGCTCCTTGGCGACCTGAGAGCCATACTCTGCAGTACTGGCCTGGGCCCATGAGCAAAGTAATATAATATAGTCTGTTCAAGATTCAATATAATAAGTCTGCAAAACACATTCCAGCAATTGTAATTGAAGCAGAATGAATTGTAGTGAACTGCATTTGTATTTTTGTTGTGTCTGTGAAAAATAATAAATATACCTACCTATTGGAAAAATCGTGGCCTTTCAGCACATTTGGCAGAGTTGTGTGACTGATTTAGTGGCTCATGTGGAACGCAACGAGCTGCGGAACAAGCTTGAATAGCATTTTGCCTCAGGGCTATCTGCCAGAAACATTTCATCTGCATAAATTTGCCTACAGGCAAGTCTGACAAATTTGTGGATTAACTGGGGTCCTTGTGAGCCTGCATATTAAATTCTAGCCCACCAGCTCAGCCCTATTCTCAGTTTCAGCATTCAGCATGATAACAGTTCTGATCAAGTTCTGATTGTCACCACCTGAGACACCAATGGAGTCCTCTGAAATTTTGCCTTTTTATTAGATTATTTGTAAGAGTTTCAGCTACATTTACATAGACCAAACGTTTCACTCTCAAAGATCTGCGACCCACCCCACTCGTCCAGTAGGATGCCTGGCGCGCAAACAGTCCAGCAGTGAGCTGCCAGCCGGTATGCAGGGCAGCAGCAGGCGGCGGCAGCAACAGTAACTAGTGAACATGTCTTGGACTGCAGCCACGACATGATCTAGGCTAGCATCTATTCAATTTGTCCATGTACAAGTACCACAGCTCCTGCCCGAGGTCGCGCAAGTCAGGGAACTGACCACCTCTGCAGCCCAGGCGTGGTTCACTGACTCAAGACATTTCAACTGACCAGTCAGAGTTTATGTTTTGCAACTTTTATCCAAGTTATTTGTAATTGTAATATTCTAAACTGAATTTTAGGCATGACTTCATTTTTCAAGAGCTACACAGAACACGCCTTCCCTGTACAGCACGTCTATTGTCCTAACATTAGTCAAATAGTTGCAAGAAGCGACGTGATTGCGGAACCTGCCTGTTTTGAAGCCCTGTTGTCTGTTGGGTGACACTGCACAGAGGTAAGGATGGGGTGTGATTTTGCTGCTGTTTGTCAGGTGCAATATGTGTGTCAATGATCACAAAGTACTCTGAAAGGTTTAAAAAATGCACAGCATGGCCTAACGAGGCACATTACCTAGGTTTTGACAAGCAGCGCAGCGAATGTGGTACAATGGCCCAGTCCCATGCTCATGTTAGTAGCTGGATCTGCTCCCAGGAAATAAAGGTAAAACACTATTGACAGCTTCAAGATGAAATCTGCAGGAAAACTAAGCCATCTATAAAATCTAACATAAGCTTAAAAGCACAACAGAGCATTTCTTATTCAACATGCAGCACTTCCGCTTTCATCCGCCATCAGCAACTCAGTTCAAAGAATGATACATTACATCACTAAAATTTATTTCAAAACACCTCTGCATGGTGTTTACACAAACAACAGTTCTTTACTAGGCATGGTCGACCTCAGGCCACCCACACTTCAGCATACAGGGTATTATCAAATATCAATGTTTAACGGCTCAAGGTTAGTCGTCTTGGATGCTCAGAAATAAAAAGGTGAACATTCAATGTCTCTTCCTTAGTTGTCACCATCAATAGATTGTGGACTCCTCAGAGCATGTCTTGATTATGGAGTTGAAACAGCAGTGAGCAAATCATTTATCATTTTGATACTATTTTTAGAGTTGCACACTTGAACTTGACACCTGCCATTGATAAGTTCATGGTTCTTGCATTCTCCAGTCACATTTAGGACGGCCTCTTAACTATTTAAATACAAAAATAAAAATACTACAAGAATTAGAAGACTATTAGAATTAGTTTTGGTTTGGCATATCAATTTATTTCTCCACCTCGTGGCACCGGAACGAATGTGCGCTGTTCCAAGAGGCGTTGTTATTTTTCAAGGTTTCGATAAAAACAAGTCGACAGATACAGAAACTTCGGAAAAGGCGGAAACGTCACAGGTTTTAAGTGCCAATACCAATACATTGTGGCACTTATTTGCACAGATGTCAAAATCAAACACAAATTTCTTTGCGATGAAGTAATTGCTGGAGAAACGGTTTTCACGGCTCTGATTTTCAAAGAACGCCCATCAAGATGGCTATCTCAACTCAATTCTAATGTTAAGGTGGGACAGTCCCTTTAATTCCATTGAAACATTGGCATCTATTGTCCGAGGAGCGACTGGCGTCCTCCACAATACACTTTCGTCACCAAAGGCCCTTCGTTGACCTTGGGTGACGATTTCATATGACTGCGCCGCCATTCAACTGCAAAGACTTAAGTTTAGTTCTCCAAAACTCCAAACTCCAAAGGTAGACGATAAAAGATCGCCCACTGGGTGTTCATCGGGTTTTAGAAGAGGGTCAACGGGCAAATGAAGCGTATCGTTATAGACACTGACAACGTTGAGGCAGTCCAACCCAATCCATTGCTGGTGTACGAACTCAAACAGTACTGATAACTTGCTTTCGAAACATTCACATTGTGGGGAAAGGCCTGACAAAGTATTTTTCGTCGGCCGTTATTCAATTGGTATAAACAAGTGTTTGCAAGGATGATTATCTCGGAAAGGGCAGGCACATTACCAGCTACAATAGTTTTCCTTTAACCGAGGAACTCTTTAAACAAGACGTGTTATACACCGGATCATCCTTACCCTCTCCCGTTGTTAACTGACTAACTTTGTACAGTACACTCCCAATGGAAGCAACGATCAGAAGGCCCTTTGACAGAAGGCGATCGGTGCACAAGCACGCACAACTGAAACAGCTGAGGATTCTGAGAAAACGATACAGCATAAGCAAAGCCTTATAAACTGGCAGGCTATTCAGCACCACCGGACATTCAGATACTGTTGCAAGTTGAAGGACGAGCGTGCCACTGTCCGTTCACCTCAAGTAGTTTGGATTCAGAATTAGCAGCACTAAGAACGGTTGATCATTGATCACCGATGTCTTAACCTAGACAAGGTTATCGCCACGAGTAGGCGCGGTGTTCTGCAGACTGAATAGACTGACCCGTCCCTCTCCGATTCCGAATGTTTCGTAAGATGTCAAGTCGAGAAGTAAGCTCTCACTACGTTGAGTCCACTGCTCAACCAACTGAGCTCCGATCCTCCCTGCCTCAATCTCTCACCTTGTGGTACGTCTCCTCGAGACTCTGCTGTGCTCCCTCGCTGCCCGAGCCGATGGCCTTTGCGCTGTACCGCACAAATGTGCCCGACGGGTCCATGTGGTATAGCTGAGCGCCATTCTCGTCGATACCGCCAAACAGCATCGCCACGCCGAACGGTCGCGACTGGCAGCGGACACAAGCGAGTTAGACGAGGTCATACGGGGTCAGGGGAGAGGTCATACGGTCAGGGAGAGATCAGTGGAGGTTACGGGGAGGTCAGTCAGGGTCACAGAGTCACCGGCATTCAAGACGAGGTCACAGGCAGGTCAGACGAGGTCACAGAGAAAGGAAGAGGTCTTAGGTGAAACAGAAGACGTCACAAGGTCAGAGAGAGGTTAGTAGGAGTCAGAGTAAGGGAGAGGTCAGTAAGGATTCCGGAGAGGTCAGTCAGCGTCACAGGGTAATTGAGAGGTCCGAATAGATCACAGGGTCAGGAAAGGAGGGATAGGTTACGGGCAGGTCAGCCTAGGTCACAGAGAGCGGTGTCAGTTTGGGTCATACGAAGAGGAAAAGGCCACATGGTCGGAGGCAGAGGGGAGCATCATGTCGCTCACAGCGCCCAGTCACGCGCCATCCGTGCTTCTCCTGACTCACAGTGGGCAGTTAAGACTTACAAAAAAGCGGCAGTGCAGACTGCGGAGAAGCATCAACAAAAAAAAAAACGATTATTTGACCGACTCCATATATAAAGATAAACAGGCGCTTCATGTCAATAAAAAGCAGCATTCAGGCTAAACGACGATTTGCATTTAAGAATGTAACAAGAGATCGGTCACATGCGAGGTCACATGCGAGTGTCAGCCAATTCCGACTGCTTCCAGTTCCCACATTATCCAGCTGCAAATCAGGACTCCATTGTTGAACAAATTCAACGCAGAAAAACTGTTTCGCAAACCGACCTCCTATGTTTTCCCTCACACTACCTGCAAACTTGTCTAACAGCCATAGCCCCACCCTCTGTCCAATACCCACCCCTGCCCTCTCCTGGAGAAAGGGGGGAGGGGGCAGATACGCACCATGGCAGTTTCCGCGTCAGCGTCGCCGAACTGGATGGCCAGGTTGGAGACGGCCAGCGCCACCGACTCGACCTTCATGCGCTCGTTGTAGAGGAACCAGTGGTTCTGCGCCTCCACACGGGCCCGGTCAATCATGGTCCGGGAGTCGGCGATCAGACCGGAGACGGCGCAGCCTGACGGAGCGGCAGCGGGGTCAGAAGAGGTCAACAGGGGGTCAACGGAGTTAGAAGAGGTCAGCACGGGGTCATCAGAGGTCAACAGGGGGTCAACTGGCCTCTTAAAAAACAGCTGAAACAGCTAAAATAAGGCAGTTGATAATGCTTTCTTTCTATCTCGTTTTGGGGCTATGCAGTTACTATGCATCATTCATAAAGACACGAACAGACATCAATCTTCAAAATCAAAAGCGAATCACTAATTATCCAACAATTTTGCCACATGCTTCCCCTTGCACACTGATAATAAAGATAACTGATATTTTTCGTTTGACTCCGACCAGAGTGCCTTTGAACACCAACCGATGTGTTTGTCGATTTCGACGATCTTCTCTAGTGTTGTGGGCTCCATGAGAGGAGAGGTGACGCGTTTCTCGACGGCCAGCACCACACCCTCTGACGTCTGGATGCCGATGGCCGTGGAGCCCAGCTTGATGGCTTCGATGGCGTACTCGACCTGAGAAGGACGGGATGGTGGTTGGTGGTGGTGATCGTACTATTCGTGAGAATGACAAAATGCTGGTGATGGTAACCGTACTTCTCGTAAAGAGAACAGTATGGCGTTGTGATCAGGTCCTGGAGTCATTACTATATAGGCGGACCAATTTATCATAGTTAAGCATAAAGAATGTAGTTAGCTAGCTTATTACGCGACTGATAGAAGCTGCCACATACGAACCAGAAAAGTAAGCACGACCTGCCCGATCCCCGCACAAATCGATACAGCCCATAGCACTCGGAACAAATCACACATATCACTGGAAACCAGAGTATATATGCATTATCAGCAAGCAGAGATGCTAGCTATCGAGCTACGGCCGGCAGTCAGGTTCCAGTGCCCAGCAGTAACAAGATACACTTGTAGTAGAGATGAATACGCGAACACGATACCACGGCACGATACCACGGCAATGGCTTCCAAATACTAGAGCATAATCAGCATTTATAAACAAATGTCAAACAATAACGTAGGTTCTCCATATAGATTAGGTTCCATTGGCGAGTACGAGGGTGTTTTTGAGGAAAATCCACAGCAATACCACACCGATAGCAGAGCCATTATTCGGCCATTATTCGGCCATGCATCATTTGCTAGTGGTTTGGAGAAGTAGTGTGACAGGCAACGCTTCTCTAGCCCGGTAGAGGAGCGAAAAGGACACCGTACAATTGACAGAAGTACGATCAGACTAGCCTGCCACCATCGCTTCGGGGCGCGACCGACTGGTCAGGTGCCTATATAGGGTATCCTACCGAACGGTCCCGTAACCCCACGGGGAGACCGCACCCGACTCAGTGAACTGACGACACAACTATCTGCGCTGCAAACAGAGGACGACATCTCGGGGTCTACGGGCAAGACACAGCAATGTCAAATATATAACCCCGGGGAACAAATGCGTCCAATGTAAAAAGATGCGATGCACGACTAGTGCTCTACAATCTACACCTGCCATGGACTGCAGGAAAGACCGTGCTCGAAAGCGATTTAATTGGACCAAGAGTCACCAAAACACCGAAGGGATACGACCAGCGAATCGGCAATTAAACGCAGCGCGGCAACGGTCTAAACCACTTTCCATCGTAACCAGTGGCAGTGTGATCAGCTATCGCTTCGATAAATACATGTGTCGCAAAATGTCGGAATAAATTATTCACTTAATGAAATCACAGCCAGATTCATATCGTGTTTCATCTACTCTGTATAAGATTGCACGGTAACTAGCCAGCAGCTGTAAGTGTAAATAAGCTGATAAGGCATGGCTGATGCAGTTCGATGAAAATATGCCTGAAAAACAGCCTGGAATTTGTTCAACATCAAAGGACGATACGTTACTAAACCGCATCGGCGCTGCTAAGCTAATCCTGGCATATTTGAGCATGTTTGATTACGCATAATATGCACGGAATTAATTGAGCTCCAGCTGCCATGAACCTTTCACCGCCTATAGGAATGAGTGTTTCTATCTAAAAACGACAACATGCGAATAATTACGCATCTAACTGCAGGCACTGAAGCTAACAATAGTATGTAAGCGCTCAATATAATTCAGAGCGAACGACGCACAGTGGGCTTAAATTTAAGAAAATAACCAATACAGTATTCACTGTGGCACCGATCTGATTGATAAATCACTGCTTATCGTTGCATTGTTGTCCCTTTCCACTTTTTTAGAACAACTCACACGGAACTCCATGCATGAACAGAGCATGCATGGAAACACAATACAAAAACCAAACCCAGTCCAAACTGCAAAGGATATCGATAAATTTCGTCAGTAAATTGCATTTAACATAGTTTTCTGTGCGTACGTCAAGGTTCAATGCCAGGTAACTTTGAACTTCAGTTATAATCAAGCAAAACAAAAATAGTTTCTTGCAAACAATCGGCGCACAGTATTCCCAACCGACCCCTACGACCAGTGTCGAGTCAGAGCGACCTCGTAATGCAGCACATAGCACTGTCGCTCCCCGCCAACTCAACGGACAATCGCGCTGGCACCTCGAACGGGCGTCTAAAGAGCCGCCCGAATAGGCGGTAACGACTGCCAGCCCATAGCCTTCTGGATTAGACGGGCACTCTATGTGGGGCGCACCATCACACATATCCACTTTTACCCGCCGCCTCCAAACTATCATCTCAAGGCGAAACAACGCATCGAGCGTCTTCCACGAACTATTGAGCTCGATGAGGTCAAGTGCCCTTACCCAGCGTATACGAGCAAGTCCGTTTAAACTGTTGCTTAACCCTATTAGTGGCAGGGGGGGGGTTGTTTTTATCCACCCCTCAGGTTTTTCGGGAATATCTCCGAAACCGCTGAAGCTACGATGCTGAAATTTTCTGACTTTTCCTAAAACTAAATTGGGCACATTCCCTGAAAATTTCAAGTTCATAACTTTACCAGGGGCGGCTCCAGAGCACTGGGAATTGGGGGGTCCTATTCGTGAAGCGAGTCATTTGGGCGAAGATCACGATGCTGCACCAGTTTTACGAACAGTGAATAAAAGGTATCATGTGATAACATATACAGTTATTGTGCATCCTCTTTTGACACGTTTTTGCTATAATAGGCGGATCCAGGCGTCCAAAAAGGGGGGTTATGTTTTACCTCCCAACATAGGTGCCCTGACACCGCCTATGCATTACCAATACAATTTTAGGCGTTCTCTCATAAGAAAATTATAACATAACAAGACCATTACCACCCTTTTTAGAAACAGTACCAACAAAAACCTTATTTACTATACTTTTTGTGTACCCCCAATCTCAATGATCTGTATCCGCCTATGATTTTTGAAAATGCATATTTTTAGGATCCATGTGAATTCCTGGTTCATTCTCTATCGATCGGCAAAAGTTGCGTTAAGATTGGTTCAGAAACCTGGCCGTGATAAACAGTCTAAAATGTATCTGCAATTTGCCCGTTTTTACCCCCCTCTACCCCCTATTGACATTTTTTAATTTTTATTTTTTAGAAATGTAGATCACGTTGAGCGAAATCGAATGCCGTTTGAATTTTGAAAATCGGCCCGTTAGATCTCGAGATATCAAGGGGGGGTCGTAAACAGCCCCCCCCCCCCTGCCACTAATAGGGGGTAGCCAGGAGCCTGCCACTAATAGGGTTAAGTTTGCGAACAATGAGTCTTCGCCTTATATGTAGGTGTGTGTTGATCGTAAGTTTGCCCGTTTCCGGCGATGGAAGGCTAATTCCAACACCAGCAACAGAAGAAGCATTCAGTATGACAAAGTTTATGTCGGCAAATATATAATTTAATAAAATCTTGCTCCAATAGCCGTCGTCGCAGCTTCTTTCTAAGAAGACTCGATACCGATCAAATACATTTGTCTTCAAGTCAAACGTTAAATGCAGTCACTGACACTTGGTTAAATAGGTAATTGCTTATCTGATACCGAATCTAACTTCGTCGCTCAACATATGTATCAAAAGCTCCGTTACGAAAGCTGGGATCTTCAGAAAAAGAAGCAAGTCACTGTCACAGAGCAGACGTGAGGCGAGAGAAGTAAGCTAGCTACCACTGTGAGCTATCATATCACTATAAAATAAAGTAACAACACACATAAATGCCTCCTGGTTCATCATTCCAAACATGTCAACTAGGATACTTATATAGGTACCGATACAGTTATCGATAGACTCGCCTTCGGCACGAAGCCCGCCCCGGCCAGCGCGACCAGCGTTCTGTAACTCACCTGAAAGAGACGTCCCTCGGGAGAGAAGGTGTTGACGCCGCGGTCATATTCAGAGCGTGTGAGGAACATGACTGACGCTGGAACAAACGGGCGCTTCAGTTAGTAAAGATTCGCTAGTGTATAGTTTGAAGTACGAATATTCATCAATATATCAAGGCAGTATATCAAAACATATAGCATAAACAAGACTTCAGAGTAACACACTAAGCAATGCTTTTGCTGTTTTAGAGGAACCGAGGAGCCAGGAGACTAAGGAAATCTGAGGAACAAACAAAAATGTTATAATTTTTCATGATAGCGCCGACCTATGATATTGGATACCTATGTGTAACAATGCCACTAGAGAGGATCTCAGAAACATTGCCTGAAGCGCCAACCTTTCAAAATGACACTTATTATCATAATTGCCATCTGACACAGGCTCATCTTCTTCCCGCCTTTGTATCCATATTGTTATTTCCAAACTTCTCTGTATCCACATAGCTTGGCCTGATCTCCACATTTGTTCGTAACGCATTTTGTCACCTATCATATCTCTCCTTCTAATCAATCTTTCGTCTACAGATCTTCAATAATTCTTCATCAGCTGATCTTCACGACCCCAAATCTTCACCCATGTACGTGGATGTTCAGCCAAACAGGTATGCATGTTTTTGAATATATATGAAAGCATGAATCTTCCTCTGCAAACCTTCGTCCATGAATGTTTGTCCACTTCATAACAGCAGTACCCCTATGGCTATGACCCAGGACCCCCCCCCCCCCCCCCCCAGCTTGGCAGTGAAGTATGACAGTAGTGTGGATTGAATCAATATCCCTCGAGTCTTATAACTGTGTTATTGGTAGGATGGTTGGCATTGTTGGACTCTGAGGAAAATGGCAGCTGCCTGCTCCTGGCTTAGGAAAACATCTAGCCTTTTGTCATTGGCATTCCTACACCTAGTTCCCATATAGTTAGGTAAGTGACGCTGGGGGTGTTGGTCCCTATCATGGTGATTGGACTGGACATTTAGAAAAGTGTTAGACATGAATTGCAGTGAATCTCACATACCTAGGAGTATGACATGAGAAAGGGGGCTGGAGAGTGCCATCTTATAGTCTTAGTAAGGGGGAGGGCAGGATCCTGTTGGATCTAACTCCATGATAGCAGGCCTCCGGGACTTTCCAAAATAGGATGCAACAGCAGGCTAGGTGTGGGGGATGAGGGGGTCACAAAATGCAAATTGTACAGACTAGGTATGTCATAGATACTGACTGGTGTGGTAGGATTAACAACTCTTTGCTGCCAAAGAATTGGGTGGACAAAAAATTTAGTCAACAATTTCAAGGGAATATATTCGATGAAAATATGCAAAGAATAAATGAAAACACAAGAATGAACAGCTAAAATTGAAACCAAACAAACTCAATACTTAAAACTTTCAAAGAACTTTGATGAGAAGAAATGATGCAACTTAGGAGTTGCAGGACAAAGAAGAGCTGCACAATACAGAGAGATATAGGTAAAGCCAGGTTTAAAGTAGACTATGCTTAGACAATGATCTATTTGGTGCCTACTGCCCACATTGGTCATAGGTCATAGGCTGTGATTCAAAGACAAATTGCTCAGGAATGGTTGTGACGGCACCCAGTGCTGCCAGTCATCTCTTCGTGAAGCTATGATCAGTTTCAGCATCAATCCCATCTTGCAGCAGGGAGTTCCAAAGCTATACTGCGCATCTTGTGAAGGCCATTGCCCATTTTTCTTGGTTTGTAGGTACCTGGCTCCTTTACTTTCAGTTTCTTGTTATGTCAATGATCTTATGTTCATTCCTGTTTTCTTCAAAAAGCTTGTTGTAATCGAGCCTTGTCACCCCCCGCATGATTATGAAAGCCAGTATCAATTCACCTCTTCATTCCCTCTTTTTTATACCACAGACGATGTATAATAGCAATTCGCAGTTGCAAAATGTTAATACCCAAAATGTTATCACCTCAATCATCTGAAATCTTATAGGTGACCCGTGACAATATCATAGCCTTTGTAATTTTTGCCGATGGGTAGCAAATAAGTGAGTCATAACAATAGTGGCATTGTTGGCACTCATGGCAGTGTTAACTTTTCATATAATATAAATAATGACAATGAACTGGGTAAAAAAAAAACTGGTAACAAACACCGAAATACCCAACACCAACAGGCAACAGCAAATGATGAATAAACTCTCCAAATGTGAAACTCTCCAAATCTGAAACTGAAGAAGAGACGAGTGAACTCCCATCTGCGCCAGACCTCTTTCTGTCATCGCATAGGGGACAGCTGGAACAGTCTCAGTCTCCCTGCAGATGTCGTTGCGGCACCGAACTTGAACACATTCAAGAACCGTCTCGACAAGCTGTGGGTGAACAGGAAGTATACCCTGCGAACTGATTAAGCATGTGGTGCCAGGATGAGCTAAAAGCTACATGGTTGATGTATGGGAGAAGCAAATGACCGGATTTCCTACAGGTCCTTTGTTGACCGTCCTAAAAATCCGTAACCACTATTCTATTCTAAATGAAACCTACTTTGCAGGTCCTTGGGAGTCCGATTGGTATTTCCGAAGGCTATATGTATTTCCGGTATTTCAATAAATATATAATACCCACACAAATTGCCGGTAAATTGAAAGGTGTAAATTGAAAATAGCGGAGCTCAAAAGGTAAACAGCAAGTCACCATGCAATGGGAATGTAACACATGCGCAGCGTTAGCTGTCATGAGGCCGATTCAGTTTTTTTGCAAGATTTTGTTAAAAACTTTTTCTGCTAAATTAAACCCTAATTTATTCATTAATTTATCGAGCGATTAAAAACTTTTTCAAATAAAAAAAAATCAGCAATCATATGATATGTTCATGTTCCTGGATATGCCTCATTTGTCGACAATTCCTACGCAACTGAGCTTTTGATCAAGATTCCAACTTCTGTTCAAAATGCAGACTGTAGGCAATCGTTAGCAAATTGTCATAACAATTTACCTCTAAAAATGTATTCTTGTCTTTCATTGGCTTACATTATTTCATAGCCTGCTGTATTCTTCATTCGCGAATGCATTTTACAATTTATTAGCAGTCGACCGTGCATTGGGGCCACGTAAAGCAAATTTTTTTTATTTTTAAGCGGGACCTATAATTTATTGTATTTTGTAATTGAACTTCTTGCACTCAGGCAGTAAGTATCATATCGGTATGTCCGTGATTGTATTACGCATATTACTCATTACTGTCTCCTTAGGACTATTGTATTCTATTGTATTGTATTGAACAATCATGAGCGATCCACATTCTGAAAGTGCTTGGCGATTGCTGCTCAGAATCCGTATGCGCGGTTACCAATCTAAACATTCACAGCATTTACACATTCACTCACGTGAAAGCAAGGACAAAGACAATTTCATAGTACCACCGGTACAACTTGCCCACTAGGGTGTGTCGATAGTCGCAGATTCGCGTTAGACAAAGATATAAATTGGCGCGAGCATGCCAAAACACTAGCCCTGCAGTTGGTTTTGCGTAAAAATGCGATTTGACGAGGCTCGGGCAGGTCGAAGTTACAGCGAAAAAGTCACAGTCGACGGTGCTGCCACCTACATTGCCAATAACGGGCACTATCATATCGTTATAATTGGGGTAGTTTCAAATGAGAAATGACTTCTATTTTTGTTCAAACTGCTTAAGAAGAAATAAAACTTTTCGGAAACACACATTTTTTCCAAATATCGCGTTCCATTTTTTCCTGTTGAGTTGTTAGGAAAGTGGTAAATTTCAAGGTTGACGGCTAAAAAACGAAACGAGGAACAGAGCAGGAAGCACCAAGACGTGTGCCGCGCCGATGCTGTAGCCTGTAGATAAGGGGTGAGCAACAGAACCAGCATACCTAACGATTTTGATTACTGATAGATATTTTTCTCTAGATGGAAGACTATTAGTAACTCAGGCAAGCCTTCTAATATAGGTATCGACAGGGTTGCGGTAAAAGGTACAATCGATGGCACATTACAATTATTCTGAGTTGGGTAACAACACTCTTCAGATACCTACCATCAACAACCTCACTATCTCCTATATGGGAGCTATATCATCTGATTCCAGCGCCCTGAAAACAAACAGGTTATTACCAAAAATCTCTATATTAGCGCCTACCGACATACGCTGAATGACGCTATCAATACCCGACATTTGTAAAAGGTGATTCGCCACACAGCCCGCCGGCGTCTGAGGGGTTGAATAAGTGAGCCAGATTGCCAGCGACTCACCGCTGAACTACCGGGCATAACAAAACGGACGATGCGACATGACTCAGAGATCATCACAGACGCAACGAAAAATGTAACCGAAGGCCATCTGAGCTGTTGTTGTTGTTGTTGTTGTGTGTTCCCTCCAGCCGCGTCACCGCGGTGTAGCCGTGCGGCTCTGGAGGTCCCTCACGGCGGCCGCCAGGGCCGCCACCTCTCCGTCGTCGCGGACGTCTTCCGGGTTCGGGAAAATCGTTCCGTACATCCGGAGACGCCAGCCCATGAGGGCCGGGCACCGGAAGAAGAAGTGCCGGGGCGTGTGGCCTCCTCCCGGCACACGGTGCACCGGCCCGCCGCACAGTCGGTGTCAGGGCACTGGCGGCAATCATCGGAAGGGTTCCGTCCAATCCGGTGGAGGTATTGGCGGGATCCTGACCAGTGGCCCGCGCGGAGCTGGTGGACGTCGACGGCCGACGATCTGTCCCCCGTCGCGGCCGGCGGCGGCAGCCGGTTCTCCATCAGGGTCCGGTACCAGCCCTCCGGCCAGGCGGCGATGGTGCGGTCGCGGGCCAGTCTGGCGGCCGCGCAGTGGGCGGTAGCGGCGTCCACCGGGACCGCCGCCTGGGGGAGCGCGGTCGCCTCCTTGGCGATCTGGTCGGCGCGCTCGTTTCCGTCGACGCCGCAATGGGACGGCACCCACTGTAGGTGGATCCGGCGGGACGGACCGGCCAGGGCCGCTAGTTCGGTCCAGATGGCGGCTCCTAGCAGGGTCTTCTGGGACGCCGGGCCCTCTCTCAGCGTCGCGAGGGCCGACTGCGAATCCGAGCAGATGGTGATCGGCGCGCTCGGCTGGTGCGGGTGGTCGCGCAGGTGGTTCAGGGCCGCGCGGAGTGTGACCATCTCCGCCCTGAAGCTCGAGCAGAGTTGACCGGCAGGGACGCGTAGCTCGTCGGTTGCACCGTCCGGCCACTCCACAAAGGCTCCTGCTCCTCCGCTGCGGACTCCCGCATCCGCCGACCCATCCGTCCAAACCCAGATGGCTTGCTGGGGGAGGGACGCTAGGTGTCTCTGCGCCGCCTGGCGCAGTTCGTCAGGTGGGGCGTCCCGCCGCAACGCTCCGATGTCCAGGGAGAATGTGACGTGTGGGCAGGCGGCCACCTCCCACGGCGGCGCGCGGGCGGGCAGCAGGGGCTCGATTGGCAGCACGATCCCAGCAGCCCGCCAGGTGTCGTGCCCCACCCCGCCCCATCTGAGCTCGTGCGGAACCCTCGTTCAGATACGTAATATCGCTATCTGCCACCTCGCGGTTCCCGTGTCAAGCCGAACTCATAGGCGGCGGACCGGGGAGGGCACCGCGGCACCGTGCCCCCTTTGATTTTGGCATTTTAACATTAGCCCTATGGGCGTTGCATGGAATGAATGGGACCAAAAGTCGGCAGTGCCCCCCCCCCCCCCCTTAATTGAAGGTATTCCGCCGCTACTGGCCGAACTGATGACACGCAATGGCCAGTCAGTCACAGCTCAGCTTCCTGCGGAACACAGGAAGACACATTCAGTGAGAGTTGGTGGTCATTGATTGTGTTAATATTATTGACATGGTGACTAAAGAACGGTTATATTGCGCCAATAATGTTGCCAGTAGCAGCACCACCAATCTTTTGAACTAAAATCACTTGACATCGGTAAAAAGAAACCCTCTAGCTTTTTTCAAGCAATCCGTGAAATAGAGGGGATTAGAAAAACCGAAAATCCAAATATTAGCACTAGATAACATAGATCTTAAATTTTGGCCAACATTTTTAAAGCATAGGTACATCAGAGGAGCTGTTGGCGGCTTACCGTCGCGTCTGTGATGATCTCTGAGTCATGTCGCATCGTCCGTTTTGTTACGCCCGGTAGTTCAGCGGTGAGTCGCTGGCAATCTGGCTCACTGATTCAACCCCTCCGACGCCGGCGGGCTGTGTGGCGAATCACCTTTTACAAATGTTGGGTATTGATAGCGTCATTCAGCATATGTCGGTAGGCGGTAATACAGAGATTTTTGATGATAACCTGTTTGTTTTCAGGGCGCTGGAATCAGATGAAATAGCTCCCATATAGGAGATAGTGAGGTTGTTGATGGTAGGTATCTGAAGAGTGTTGTTTCCCAACTCAGAATAATTGTAATGTGCCATCGATTGTACCTTTTACCGCAACCCTGTCGATACCTATATTAGAAGGCTTGCCTGAGTTACTAATAGTCTTTCTTTTAGAGAAAAATATCTATCACTAATCAAAATCGTTAGGTATGCTGGTTCTGCTGCTCACCCCTTATCTACAGGCTACAGCATCGGCGCGGCGCACGTCTTGGTGATTCCTGCTCTGTTCTCCTGTTTCGTTTTTTAGCCGTCAACCTTGAAATTTACCACTTTCCTAACAACTCAACAGGAAAAAATGGAACGCGATATTTGGGAAAAATGTATGTTTCCGAATTGTTTTATTTCTTCTTAAGCAGTTTGAACAAAAATAGAAGTCATTTCTCATTTGAAACTACCCCAATTATAACGATATGATAGTGCCCGTTATTGGCAATGTAGGTGGCAGCACCGTCGACTGCGACTTTTTCGCTGTAACTTCGACCTGCCCGAGCCTCGTCAAATCGCATTTTTACGCAAAACCAACTGCAGGGCTAGTGTTTTGGCATGCTCCCGCCACTTTATATCTTTGTCTAACGCGAATCTGTGAGAAAAACCCCTCTGTCGACACACCCTATTGCCCACCCACCCACCAACCCGTTGGTCAGCGACGATCAGTTAGTGCCCCATCCACTCTCGCGGCTTTAACAGAGCAGGCAAAGCGGGCGGGAGGTAGCTGCGACAGCTGAGTTGGGGAACTATTGAGCAGAGCTGCGGCTCGATGGCCGAACCACCGCCTACCCGTTTTCAGCCGCGGTTGCGGAAGGTGAAAGAGGTGGTCTTGCCTGGAGTGTCTCTCCCAGACAGCGCTGTTTGTGATGAACATGGTTGCCAATTCCTCAGGTTCGCCATGCTGTATGGCTTTGTGGGCGATGACAAGGGTTTGGTAATCAGCTATATGACGTGGGGACAACCACCAGAGCTTTTTTTGCAGGTCAGAGACATGGGCAAATTTACGGCGACTGAAAATGACTAACAGCGAAGTTCAGAATTTTTTGGAGACGATCAAAATTTTTTTGGGACCCATTGCCATAAACTGAGAGGCAGTTTTGGATGCGGGAGATAACAAGTGCTGTCACGTCACGAGCGTTCTAATGATGCCATCCGGGAGACTGTGGCGCGCATGGGAGAAACCGATCAACAGTCCCGTACACCGGCGGCTGAGTTCGGAGACGTGAGCGTCCCAGGATAGAGTACTGTCAAAAGTGACGCCCAGGTTCCCCACCTGCGCGCACGGCTGCAACGCTGCGTCACGGAACGATA